TAAGCTAAATTTAGAGTAGTGATTTTGAATATGTTCATCTGAATTATTTTTCTAATTATACCCAATCTTATTTTAAAATAACAACGACCTGAATATCTAAAATCGAAAAATTCATAAGGCCTATACTAACTATGGATCCAGAGGAGGGCTGGGCCGGGGCCCGGGATGGCCACCCCCTGGATCCGCCATTGAAAAAAATAGATGTATGATATACTCTTGTTTTCTTTGTATATTAAATGGGATAATTTCAACTCAAACAAAAAAAAAGATATGATGATTATATTAATTGATAAGTAGTTATGATTAGGCATTCTAAACCGAGTTATAAATTCACCGGTTTGGCAAAAGACTACCTTGTATTTTCAATTGCAAGATAACATGACTTAAATTTTTGCAATGGTAAAATCAATTGAATATTTATAATCTTGCAATAAATGTTATTACTTATGAAAGTCATAGTGACCTAAAAAATCAGGGATGAGAGGATCTTGTAGCAAGATTATCTATTATCTATTACAAAACATCACTTGGGTTTACTGATTGCAATTGCAAGTGTAGCAAGATTGTCTATTATCTATTACAAAAATCACTTGGGTTTACTGATTGCAATTGCAAGTGAACTAACTGCACTGATGCAGCTGGTACAATGAAATTAACATGAATTGGATTGTCGAAATTGTTGATGTGATAATAGAAATCACATATGTAGTTCGTTTTTCAATTGCATTAATGTATATGCTCTAATACCAAATAGGACGAGTGTGGTATGACCAAATAGTATCTCGATAATGGGATCATATAAGTTTGAGCCAAATAGTTGGATGTAAGTTAGACCAAAATAGATTTATTGTGTATTTGTGTATGTGGTTCAAATATAAAAACTATGTAACTCGAAACACGCATTCTAAATCTAAAATGGAGATGGAACATATTTAACCAAGTTGAACTTGTTGAGATACGAGGTTAACAGTTACTAGGCAGTGATGTTAAACTTAGAATTAACACGATATCATATAATTAGTACAAATAGATAATAAATATGTTAAAATTAAATAATTTAGAATAGAGAAAAATCTAACGGGGATGAACCTATTAATAATAAAAAGATGATAATATCTACTACGCCATAGATTCTAACCTTCTAAATAGAACACGTTTGAATAAAAAACAACCTGATTTAATTTTCGATCGAAACATATTTGTGAAACTAGGTTGGTTATGATGAGAGGGTGCTGAAGAAATACCAATGAACAAGCTCATCTTATCCACAAATCAGGAACTAACAATCTAATTAAGTATGTTGGCTAAAATTTGGGTGTATCAATGACACGTTTTAGTAATTGTCTGTGTTGACAGGTGGTTGAAAATAAGTTGGTTTCCGATTTTTATTGACTTCGAAATTCTCACTTCACTTGAAATCTACTTTTCATATTTATTTTCTGCAATTTCTCGTTCCACTTTGATATTAAAACTCGAAAATTAATAGACACCAATATACAATTAACGGGGATGGACTAGGAAAAGTAACATTTATAACGTGAGCATTTCTACTATGCTATATAGTATTGGTGCTTTAATGTACAACTTAAAATTGTACCATAACATTAAATGTATATGTATAGGTTGTACCATAAAACAATTTGTACCATTATGTTATGGTACAACTGTACAACTTGAAGTTGTACCATCACATAAAGGTACAAGTTCAAGTTGTACCATAAAAGAATTTGTACAAAAAGTATAGGTACAATCTGAAGTTGTACCATAACATAAACGTACAATTTTAAGTTGTACCATAAAGGCAAAATCCTATAGCACCAATACTATATAGCATTGTAAAATTTCTCTTCTAACGTTTCTATGCTTTTGGTGGCTATCATATCGCGTCACTTTTTTCTCTTATCTCAATTCTCAAACATGAAATAAACCTGTAATCTAAGGAATCGTTTGAAAGTTGTGATTGTTAAAATTGTGTTTGTTGAATACATGTATTGTCCACAATACAATGTTTAGATTTGTGTCAACTTTTTTTTCCATTTATACCCCTAATAGTTTTTGTGTTGTTCTAAAAGTTAAGGATAAATATGACATTTCCCCATAAAAATAACTTTATGTAAATCAATACATAAAGTAGAATATCAACAACTAAACAATGTATTATTAAAATGCATCCATTGTATCAATACATGCATGTTATATCATGGTGATTCATTACAATTCAACGATTTAACAACTTACAAATGATCCCTAGTGTAATCTACTTGAATTTTCTCGGTAATTATTTTGTTTCCCTTTCCCACATCCACAAAAGTCAAGTACATAAGATACAATTGTCTCTTAAAATTTTGGGTTAATATTTTCGTATGGCCTGAACTTTGATCAAAATAAACATCCTGGCCAATCTTTTCGATCTATAACATCCTGGCCCGAACTATACACCAAAATAAACAATTTGGCCAGATCCGACTTTTGACTGTTAACTTGGACGGTCAAACGCGTTAACCGTTAGTCAACGCGCCATGTCACTGCCAAGTCAACATAAAATATTTAAAATAATTCACAATTTCCACACATTTCCTGATTTTAAATTATTATAAATTTAAAAAATCATCTAATACCTTAGTTAAACAAAAATAAAAAAAACGAAAAAAATTAAATATTTATCAGATCTTCTGACTTGGTAGTGATGTGGCACTGACGTGCGCGTGTTGACCGTTAGTCAACGTGTTTGACCGTCCAAGTTAACGGTCAAATATCGGGTTTGGCCAAATTGTTTATTTTGGTGTATAGTTCGGGCCAGGATGGTATATATCAAAAAGATTGACCAGAATATTTATTTTGGTCAAAATTCAGGCCTACGAAAATATTAACCCTAAAATTTTATTTGCTTTCCAAAGATAGAGTTTTATCCACTTACCAATTATACATTAGGACAAACGGACAATAAAGACAAAGTTGGGATATATTCAGGGGATAAAAAGTTAAAAACTAAAAAAGCCAGTATGTAAAAAGAATTCGAAAATGGAAGGAAATAACCAAAACAGTCACTGTTCTTAACTGGAAACTTAATAATAAAAATAATAAATAACCTCCAAAACAAATACTTTTTCGGATAAAAATAAAAAGGAAAATGACCTGGGTCGAAGTTGGCACATGAAAAAGCCAGCCCAAATCCAGTCCCCATTCACAAGTTTTAACATTCACACTCTGACATGTTCCACCCAAGCAGAGGAGGGACCCAATTTGAGTTGTAATAAAATATATATGGATAAAATAAAAATTTAATCCTTAATTTTGGCATGTCTTCCATCAAACTCTTGAACTTTATAAATTTGATATTTCACGCCCAACTATGCAAACTATACACGTTTGATCTCCATTAGATGTGTGTTTTTGTTTATTGTTGTTTGTAAACATAAACATATCAATCTTAGTTTTGGAAACCTAAAAATTATGAGATACTGATGTTGTAAGTATTGACATGACGATTACATGCGGTAAAACCAAACGATAATACACTTGTTTGCACTGAGTTTTGTGGAGAACTCTAGTAAGGACTGACGAGGAAAAAAATATATGTAACGTATCATGTTACCGTTGGGTGAAGACATATTAGTTATTACTTTTTGATGAGACATTGGATTACGTGCACAAGTATTAAGTTGCGGAACAACAACTATGGAAACGAATATGTATTATTAATTATTCTTAACGGCCAAATTGTCTGTGTATAAATACTAAATGTTCTCAACTGACTTCTCGTGTTTTGCCACTGTGCAACTCTGCTCTTGCTTTATTGCTAGTTTGTGAATCAAGCAAATCACTGGAGAGCAAAACCCAGACCATCATATTCGTCATCTCAATATCTGAAACTACTTCATGAAACGAGAGGCTACCAAGTGATCTATCGACACAAAGATGATAGCGCTCACACACGACACAATTCCTATTACCCTTTTCTTGATCATTTTTTCTTCTTCATCTTCTCTCCCACATGATTGAGCAAATTGGAAGCAAAAATAGTACTACAATGAGGAGGTTAATAAAAAAACAAAATTCAATAAGGCATAATTTCGCGTACGTCTAGACTGTAGGCAGCAACAAAATGCCTCGTCTAGATCCTAGGCAGACCATTAGACCGCTAAACAACCAAAATCACGTCACCATATTGTACTACTTCAGTTCCTCTCCCGTTTTTATCTGATTTCAATCGGTTCTATCTTCTTTCTTACTCTTCACCAACTTCGCATGTGAAATTATATGATCGATTAATAAATCTAACTGTTGCCTAACACTTAAAAGACAAGAACGTTTACTAACTCAAAGGTCCAAACAGATAAAACTAACAAAGTTGATGGCTCCCTTCCAGAAATCTACAAAAGGAAACTGAGGTTGGACAAAAGAAGAAAAAACGTAAAGGGAAAGGAAATCAAGACCGTCCATCCCCTGGTTTTTGGACAGCGGTTAATTAATTTCTCACCACCACCATCTCCCCACAACAGTAATCCAACCTCCCCAAATCTAACGGCGCCTTGCGCAACCAAAACAAAAAGGGGAGAGAAGAAGAATAAGCGAACCAAAAAGCCAAACAGGCAGTAGAGTTCAGGAAGAAAAAGAAAACACAGAAAGAGAGAAGACTGAACGCAGAATGGGAACGAAAACGGAAGGAAAAAAGGAGTAGATAGGAAGAGAGAAACATAAGAAGAAGAATTCTCGGCAACCAAACAGTAAAAGAGAAATTTTGGGTTGGAGACTTACCCGTCAAATCTCGTCAACAAAAAAGAAAACGTTCGGATTGTGAAAGTTCTGTTTAATATTTTCCTCTCAATTTTTTTTTTGTTCCGTTTCCCGTTCAGTTTGGGGACAAATTGTTTTTGTGGGTTGGAGTTAAAAAGGGCGGAGAGGTGGGATTTGGCATTCTGGGTTCATCGGAAGGGAAAATTCTCGAGGTGGGTTTTTAATTTTTTTTTTTTTGTTTGTTTCATCTCCGGCGGTGGGTGATGGGATTGGGGAATAGTGAGAATGATTTGATCGTCGATGACTGTGACGGCGAAGGCGCCGGGGTTGCCGACGATGGAGGTGAAGTTGGCGGCGGAGGGTATGGGAAGTCGTTGGGGACGGTTTCTTGTTCGATTTGCCTCGAGGTTGTGATGGATACAGGGGATCGATCATGGGCTAAGCTTCAATGCGGACACCAATTCCATCTGGGTAAGCTTGGAACAAATTGATTTTCCTAGATTGGATTTCGATGGTTGGCTTTACTGTTTCCCTTTCCATTTGTTTTGGATTCTGGGTTTAATGTTTTGTTATGGTTTTTTGGTTGTTGGAGTGTTGGGAGGGAGAAAGTTTGAGATCTGAAGGCAATGTTGCTGAATGATGAGCTGGGTTTTGCTCAATTGTGGTTAATTGTGAGTAGCTAGCTTAGATTTCTGTGGTTCGTCTGGAATTTCAAGAGAATATCTCTGTTGGATGGATGAAATTTTCTTACTCTAATACTTCATTAATGGATTTAGTTGTTGCTGTGGCATTCCATTGACCTTCGATGATGAGGCACGGGCATTCTGAATTTCGAGCTTGCTTTGTGAATTTGTTGAGAGCTTGAAATGATTGATATCGGATTGCATGGCATTTTTTCCGCTGCAAATTTTGCAGCTGTGGTTGATTGTGGGTGGATAGCGTGAAATTCCTTTGGTTCCATGGATTAGCAGGGAGTGATACATGCTGGATGCTTGGAACGTGCTACTGATAATTCATTCTTATGCCAGCTTTGATCTATGTTGCATTCTATTTGGACATTGACAATAGGTTACCGAATTCACTAGTCTAGGCAGCCTGCTTAGACAATTGCTGGAGAGATTGATGTATACATTTGGGTTTGCATCTGATGTTTCTTTCACTGCAATCTTGATTCACGTGTTTGTTTGATGATCTTTTGTGGCCTTTGAATGGATAATGGTGAGGATTATGAATGGTTTTTATAGTTGAAAGTGTTGATTTACCTACTATAGAATCTGCGGATGATCGTAGTATAGGTTGCATTTTGTGGATCCTTTATGGGTAGTTTTGTATTTCTAAGGCTGCAGACTTTGCTTCAGGGGAGGGCACAACACTTTAATGTTACCAATCTCACTCTTGCTACCTTAATAACTTGTGAATATAGATTTCTTACCCTTTCAGATTCATCGTTTTCAGGGTGCAAGCCTAAAAAAGAATCCAATGGCATATAATAATTGTCTATTTCCATTACTACCTTTCTTTTGAAGCTACTGGTTCTACTATTCAGAATCTGTAACGGGTGTATTGAGAATGAGTCTGCTATAGACCTACTAATGATATTTTCTTAGTATTGGCATTAATGCATATTGAGTTGCTGACTTACTTCGATTCAATATGCATTGGTTTAGCTTTCAATACAAAGGGAGTGATGCAATGCCCTAACTATCGGAAAGTCGTTTCTTTGGCAGATTGCATTGGTTCGGCTTTCAATACAAAGGGAGTGATGCAATGCCCTAACTGTCGGAAAGTCGAGAAAGGCCAATGGCTCTTTGCAAATGGTTCTCGTTCACTCCCTGAGGTCAACACAGATGACTGGGCCCATGAAGAGGATGCTTACTATAGCATCTCCCAAGTGGTGAGTGGATATATGAACAAAGAAACTACTTATGTTTGTGGTTAAATTTTGTTATGGCTATGCTTTCCTCATTATTGCTTCCGGTTGTTTAAAAAGTAAGTTGTCAATAACAATTGGTAATGATGGTAAAGCTCAGTGTTTTCATTTTTTAGTTTGGGCAGGCATTTAAGGGGATACTAGTTTTACTTATGACTCATCCATGAGCTCGGTTAATGACCTACTTTAACTGGTTGTGCTGTTCATTTATTAGATCTTTCACAATTTATACTGAGCTTGGAAATAAAGGATAGAACATTTCATTCACTTTCTATATTTCCATGAAGCCAGAGAATTGGTCTACTGCCATATCCATTTCTAGTGAGATTCAGGTTCCGGTTTTGCATTTGTGATAATGTTTAAACTTCCAAAAGACATCAAATGGTCCTAGAGAATGCAAAAATCAAGTACTATGCTGTTCTTCATATGTTATTGAGAATAGAGATTGTCCAATTGTTTGTAAGCACTTTGATTACTTATGATACCCTCCCCATCAGAAGCTTTTTTTCTTAAAGCTAGATATCTTTTACTTGGGGAACCAGATGACCCGTCTTCCTAGTTTCTCATTTATGCTTTGTTTTTTGCAGTCTCTTGGATTTCACTATTGTCCTTTTGGTGGTAGCTTGACGAGACCACCTTCATCCTTTGAGTGAGTATCCTTCTGCATGTCATTGAAACTTTAACTACTAGTCCCAAGAGCTTGGCCATGAATGTGTTGACCATCTAATTGCTTTTTCCCTTCCTTGAATCGTTTTATTTTCTGATTTGCAGGGAAGGGGAGCTGTCACTGAATGCATGTAAGTTTTTTCATTCTGATATTCTAGTACTGTATTGTTTGACATTCCAGTATTATATTTTCTTTCAATCTGATATTATAGTATTGTATTCCTCTTATATTCTAGATCACGATCTGCTGGGCCAGCCTGCTGTTTTTGCGGAACACGCAGCCGCCATATCGTCAGCAAGCAATGCTTGTCCATATATTGCTTACTTTGGACCGATCCACCCTTCGTCCTCAAGCTCCAGTGCTGGCGTTTCAGATACATCCAACTTTAATGGCCACTGGAATGCTCCATCAGTACCTAGCGACATGGCAAGCTCTTATGGCTTCCCTGCTGCCCTGGATCTCCATTATCACAGTTGGGAGCATCAGTCCCCTCCATTCTCCACAACAAGCAGTCGCATTGGTGGTGTTGATCAGAGTTCCCTCCCTCCGAATGCTCAAAGAGCTGTGGGTAGAAGCAATAATGTCGGTCCTCAGAGAACAGGATCATTCATGCATCCCTTCGTCATAAATCCAGGGTATGTCTTTGTTTAAGAGACAGTGTTGATTTGGGCTGTTTCACTTGCTTGACTGTGTGCTCAATCAAATTAAAATTTGGTGTTCTGCCAGTTATCCAGAGTGTTTACTAGAATTAACTGAACGGTTAGCTGAAATGCAGTCCAATTTACGTATGACAAGATTTTGATTATAAATTGAGAATGTTAGAACTTCATTGGACAACTTCTGCTATTGATTCCTCTCGGCTGGATTTGTCTTCTTAAGGTTTGGAACTTCTGTGAATGAATATCTTAATATAGCTTTGGTTTATTTTTTACTCCCTATGAGTAGTGTGTACTGAGTTTGTTTGAATTTTAGGTTTGGCTTCACAAACAATTGTTTCTTCTTCTTCTTCAGTTAACTGAGTCTTTCATTATCCATTTTTATACTACTTACAGTTCTGGTGCCAGAGCCGGAAGCTCAGTGCCTCCTTCGGGCACTCCAACTTATCAAGGCAGCAATGCAAGGGCACGCGATCGAGTTCAAGCTCTTCAGGACTACTATCAACAACAGCCCGGGAGCTCCCCACCGATTCATGCTCCTCCCCTGATTGCCACCTCAGCACGAAGACCGAGCAGCAGCAGCCACAGGGGACTGTCGCGAGTGATCCCACCGACGCCCGACCAGGCTGGGTTTTACTTCTTCCCGTCAGCAGGGACGACATCATCAGGGCGGAGCTACCAAGAGCCGGAGAATGCTTCGTCCCGGACTGGGTTCCGGGCATGGGAGCCATTGTTCCCTTTGAACAACAGCCATCCTGATAGAGATTCAGGCTGGGGGCCCACATACCAGCAAGGCAGCGGTGGGTCCGAGGCAGGTGGAGGGATCAGATCGGTGAGCTTCCGTCAGAGGCAGAATCGTTCGTAGTGTGTTTCACTGCGTGGAGAGTTTTATATCCTTGTTGAGGGGTGAAGTGAAGCAAAACTCGTTTTTACCAGACTGCTGTGGGAAACCCAGAAAGCGGATGAAGAAGAACTATGTGTAATTGCTTAAACCATAACTGATGTATGATGGTTTTGGGGATCGATTCGACGAGGAGCGCGATCGATAGTGCCATGGAAGTGGCCTGAGAACAATGGTGTTTTATTTTTCATGTGGGCAGCTTGGCCTGGCTGTTTTGGCAGTGTGCTTGATTGATGCAGGCTGTGCTATGAACATCATTTGTGGCTTCCTCCGGTTTCTTTGCCTTTCTGAGGATATAAGAAAATTGTTAATGTTATGTGTCTCTGGATGGTGTATTCCGATTCAGTCTGTTGGCTTTGCACTTTTGAATCCTTCGGTTGCGGACTAACGTCTTCTGGTTTCAGTTGGTTCAGTGTCATCTGGTTCGTTACATGTTCTTAATGTCATGGCAAATACTGATTTGTTCGAACTCCATACCGACTTAGTCATTGGTGCGCGGTTTAATTTATGTCGAAACTTGACTTAGTCATTGGTGCGCGGTTTAATTTATGTCGAAACTTGATCGATGCGATCTTGAACTAGATTCCAGAATCTGGTATGTAGTCGGAGCTTCCTCGAATCGATGATGAATCCTCTAATTGAAAGATTTCAAGTATCATTCATTGGGGATCTTCTCCTCTTTCGTATTATTTATTTATTTATCTATCTTTCTTTCTTGTTGTACAAGTCAAACTGTGACAACCAACCACAGCGTTACAAGAAACTCTGCGTTTCAGTCGAATGGCAAACGGAGCGAATCGTAAAGGCAAACCACCGGCACCCTGCTGTGGCACATTCCCGCCAGAATCACCGTCCGGCGTTGCATCCTCCCCTGTCCCTCTCCGCCGCTTCCCGCCGCCTGGCCGCCGTCCGGCTCGCCGATATCCTTCACAATCAGAACAGGTCTCGCGCGGTAAGCCATCTCTCCGCTATCCAACGCGAAATGCAGCTGCGGTCCCTTCGGCGCCTGATTCCCGATACAGGACGAATCCGTCTCCATTTCGCCGGCCAAACCGCTGTAATTCCCCTGCCTTGTTCCTCCTTCTGCACCAGAATCTCCAGCTACCGGCGACACCGGAAGCTCGTTGTCAATTCCTCCCATCTCGTCGCGATGATCCTCGAGCAAAACGCCGCCGCAATTCGATCTCCAGTTATTGAGGCGATTCCTACCCTCCGCCTCGAAAATTGAAGGTTGCGACCTAGTTTCTTTTCTCCGTTCTCCAGAAACGAGGCCTTTTGCCTCTCCTTCTCCCGGAATCAGGCAATCTGACCCCACTGCGTTCATTCCTTCCGTTCAATCCACCACAGCTTCAGAAGGCGCAGACACAATTCCTTCTATACAGCACAATTCCGCAGCAAACAGACTAAGAAGGATAGAAAGAGTTTCAAGAATGAACACTATTTAAGAGTTTTTAGTTGATCAAAATTTTTCTAACCTGTAGGCAAAACAACCTCTATTTAAAGATGTCACAAAAGCATAAATCTTACCTTCTAATAATAGAGAAAAATTAGTCTCAAACTAATTAATTATGAAAACATAATAGCTCGTTATTTAATGTTAAAGTAAGCTTCTTAGTAGTTAAGTAATCTCTAAACTCGTTTTTAATGCTAAAGGAAGCTTCTTAGCAGTTAAACAATCTCTTTCCTTCTTTTCGTGGAAGGATAACTTGAGCCGCGCAAGTATGGACAATTTGGACATTTAGACATGTTTTTATTTAGACTATTATAATTCGTCTTTCTCCTTTTGGACGTGGATTATATTAACTTCTTAGTCCATAAACGGGTCATAGTTTACAGATAAGAAATACTCCACCAAATAAACTTGTGACTGAGCTTTGAATGTGTTCGTATATCTACGAGTAACTGAGCTTTTCTTTCGAGCAACATCATCCCACACCAGTATTGAAATTGAAGCAGGTTGACTAGTCTTTGATTGCTTTGGTGTTGATGTCCTCATCATTATCAACCACTTGGAAAAATGATTTTTCCTCAATTATATATCATCATCAAGAAAAGGAACCAAGCCTAAAACATTGAAAGAGAAGTGACACTATCCTCCTAGCATATACCAAGTATCTTGTAAGCATTATTATTGATGCACACGAGAACTTGAAATGGACCATCTCCACGAGGTAACAACTTAGAACGACTTTATAGCGGAAAATGCTCCTTTCGAGAGGAGCAGCCGCAGCTGTAGTAGAAGATCCTACAGGTGAGCCTGGGGTTTGGTCTCTCGAGAAACAAGGCGAGGCAATCAATCTTTCGAAACTGTCACAAATTTTATATGCAAACCAACCATCTCACCCATCACGGCAATCCATCCATCTCAACAACCACACATCCATACCATCCGCTGGCATATAGGATCCAGGGTAATACTAACAAGCAAATACAGAAGCTCAATAAAGCAATCTCCAAATCAAGTCTTATACTTCCACCATATCCATTGTCAACTGCCTCAAACATCTATCATACTACTACCATCTTCCACTGGCGAAGTTTGGGGACCAGCAGCTATCTAAGTCTCCCTAAGCAACCAGCCATCAATGGCAAATGCTGAATGATCCCATTCGACGCTTAACATCAGTATGGGGACCTTGACCTCGACCGAGACCTGCAAGAAGCAAAAATCAACAGATCAGCAATGAACACAACTCCCACTCTTTCGTGATTCAAGTAATCAGACTCCGTCAATATCGTTGATCCATAGGTCCCAAAACACTCGCAATCGCATGCATCGCGCAACAAGCAGCTAAGTGAATGAGGGCATGTCCTCGGAACAACTTTACGATGCTAATTGAGACTAGAGGGATTCTTGGCGTCCCACGACAGCAACTAGGCCACTCGCGCAGTAATCTGGGCTTATAATACCACCAAGTGAATCAATCAGAATCAACAAGTTCATCAGAGTGAGAATGAGAGACCATAGTCCATATGAAGAGCAATGATGGGGTTGGTTAGCTTTTCACTTCAATATCACCCGGATTACCTCAACACAAATCAAAACAAGGAACTGTAGGCATAAGAGCACCCACATCCCTTCACGTAATTAAAATCCAATCTCCGTCGTGTTGCTGCAAAAAGCCACATCTATCAAACAAACATGAAAGAGTGACTCTGCATAAGCTGGCGGGAATAGTTCTACAAAGGAGAAATGCAAAAAGGCCAGAGCGGATATTTGAGCAAAATGGATATGGTTGAAGCTCTCAAGGACACACTTATTTTGTAGATAGCATTGTGAGAAAGACGCGGGGAATAAGGGAAACAAAGCGACTCCCAAACCGACTCCGGAGATAGTATACTGGCGGATCTTGTCACACCATATAACAAATTGGATGGTTTCTTTCTTCAAAACAAAGGGGGAAGAACTCAAGATCCGAGTCTATCATATGCCGGTTGTTAGTACGCATCGGTCTTTAGAAGAAGCTTAAGGCTGAATGATGTGAGATTATCAGGCTTATGAGTGCACGTACGAACAAAGTACTAGGAAAGGCCATAAAAGAACAGGAACCAAGATTAAGCCGAGGTCAAAAAGACTTAAACTTGTTCGACACAGATCAACCCAAAAAGGGAGGAAAAGGCACGAGGTTATATAACACCAAGAACCATAAACAGGGGTAACATGTTTGGTCGTCGCCGCAGCTTCAGTAGTGAAACAGCATTGGTAGAAATCAAGAGCCAAGAACCAGATATGAGGAGCACAGTACCTTGAGACAGACCTACGAGGGGACTCAGAACGATATCTGGCCACAGGAGACACGCTGTAACCAAGAGATGTAAGACTCAATTAGTTAATCCTCTACTAAAATGAAAGAAAATCACTATCTTAGGGGTTGATTAGTTTTCTTCTTACCTCCTGCTTATAGGACTGTAGCTGCTGCGGCTCCTGCTCCTTGAAGCATAAGGACTGCGGCTGGGACTCCTGGAATAGCTTTGTGCTGAATACTCGGGACTTCTGGAATAACTTCTCCTTGAACGATAAGGACTTCTTGAGTCATACGGGCTCCTAGAATAGCTGCGTCTTGAGTCATACGGGCTCCTTGAGTAGCTTCTCCCAGAATAATCTTCCCGTACCTAGCAGAAAGTCAAGAAATTGTAGATGGATGAAAAGTTATTTAGCCATTGAAGGTAATCGAACCGGCAAAACCCAATGATGTGTAAGAATGAAACTCCCTACTTACCCGTATATAAGCACGAGAGTATGCATTTCGAAATTCAGAATCATCCAGTTTCCTAATCTGGAAGAACATAAACCCAAATGAGAGACGCCAACGAATGTGGATATTAAATACATCCAAAGAAAGACATTAGGTGAATGGACCTACAGCATATTTCATATCATCATAGCTTGTGTACTCCACAATCCCCCGCATGCCTACAGAACCAGAGAGAATCAACAGAACATCACATCAAGGCTTAAGGGTGTCGAAAATCAAAGTTGAGACTTGAGAAGACAATGCAAGTTGTGGGCAGGATGATTTCCATCTGTAACATAAATATCCTATGCGAAATCAACTGGAATGTACCTCCACGATCACGAAAGACCTGAGAAAAGCAGACATCACCAGCTCGGCGCATATGATCCTGATCATTAAAAGAACGAGAAGAAGCTTAGACACGGCAAGTGATATTCATAGGATCCAACTAACACTCATCAGCACCCGAGGATCAGTTATATATACCTTCAAGTCTTGCCATGAAGCAGAGGAAGGCAATCCGGTGACCAGAACTGCATAAAGAATCGATATGGAATTCACAATTAACAACCACGGACTAAAGCGAACACATCAGGGGAACGGAAGAAAACGATACCGCGATAGTCAGATCGCCTTGATGGTCCACGACTGCTGCTGCTACTGTAGCTGTCGTAGCGATCCACAGGTGATGAATGCCTGCGGCCTCCATGAGCAAGCTCAACCTTCAAACAAAAGAATGCATTCAGTGAATACCAAAACACCGGCAAAGCAAGTACCACCTAAAATAAATAGACAGACCGAACAAATCCATCTCGAAACAGACTTACTCTTAAGCGGTGGCCATCAAAGTCATACCCATCCCGACCACGAATCGCATCATCAGCATCACGAGGATCCTCAAACTGAGATGCCAGATAACAATTCGGACTCATGTACGCATAACAAAACGCGAATCCAACTACGATGTACATACAAAAGTGGCAAAAAAATCTACCCAGAAGTTGGAACTAAAACAACTACAACAGGAATGCATTCAACTCAACACATAGAAACCATAATAAAAAAAACCTCGATTACTCACCTCAACGAAAGCATAACCAGGAGGCCTCGGGGGCACTTTCAAGTCGATGTCAACAATAGGGCCATACTGCAATTTGACAAATCCAAATCAGATAGCAATCATTCATCAAGCTATTGATTTGTAAGATATATTTCATGATTTACCTTGTAGAACAGGTCTTCAACCTCCCTCAAGCGGATATCGCCAGGAAGATTACCAACGTAAAGAGTTCGGCTTGAACGGCTACTCCTACTCATTTTTTTCGTTCCCACCTGAAAAAAAAACCCAACTGCGAAAACATCATTTTGCTGCACATAATCAAAACCCAGAATCTAAAAACCCAAATGGGAATTTAGAGAGAGAAACCGATCGATAAACAGACTGTCCTTTACCAGAGAAAGATGGCGAAAAAATCAACCAAGTAAACGCTAAGAACTTGCTTGCCCTTACCAGAGATTTGAGAGAAAAAAGTGAGAGGAAAGGAATGTGGGCAAGAAGGAAAGGGAAGGTAAAAAAAAAACTGGGTTCGTAGAGAGGACACTGGATTCTTCTCGAAGGTACCGAGCAATCCAACGGTTATGAAGGTTTGATCATAGACACGCGTTGGGTCTCGAATGTGACATTTGTAGGATGCATATGAGGCCGGGGGGGAGGCTAAATAGTACGAGAGGAGTTCTGCTACGACACTCAAACATCCTGGTACAAGTCGAACGACGTAACAACTAACAAACGAAACCACACCATCCTGTACACACAACAAGAAAAAAAAAAAAAAAAAAAAAACAAACGACCGCCACTTGTTCCGTGTGAAAATAAATCGCCAATAATCTTTTCCGTTGATTATTTTTATGGTAACATCATCATGCATTCATGCCGAAGTAGCAAGGATAGCAACATCATCTTAATTAACTAGATCTCGGCCCGTCCTTTGGACGGGAGCAATTTTTTCAAGGATATAAACTTGATATAATTTCAAATCCCGATTATTCAAAACCCAATAATATATATAAAAAAACATATATAGTTAGAGCTTTTCAACATCCTGAATGATTCGTCAGTGAAATTACTTACAAACCATAAAATCTACACCCGTGCAATGTGCAAAGGAGCCAAGTCCTACAAAATTGTCTAACCACGGTATATTTTACTACTTGTCATTACAAATTACAGTGAATTTTCTTTTATACTCCCTTTACTTTCCGTTCGGCCCAATGAGATTTGATAATGATAATTGTTAAATTTTATATTTTTCTATTTGATGTCATTTTTCTCCCAAAGTTGCATTCGTTTCATGTTTGTTTGAATGATATAGACATACTTCATATAGAGTTTTCCAACAACCAATTTTCTGTGGTCGTCAAAAATTAATTTTCTTGTAGTGCAAACCGATGCATCTTTGAAAGCCCTAATTGAATTAAAATCCAATTAAACCAAACTTCTAAAAAAACTAATCAAACTACACTTCATTTCACTATGCGTTTTCATACATTAGAACAAATCTTCTTTTGACTTCTTTATCATCGGCCCAATATCAACAACATTGTCTCAACCATTAGCAAGATAACTATCTTCATTATCGACTCTACTATCTCCACCATCAAATATCTCTTCCTTCTTCTCAACAAAGTCGTTATCTATATCACCAGCTCCACTACTTCCACCATCAAAAGGGTCTTTGTCCAAAGTAAAATATTTCTTATTTGAAACCATAAGAGAATCTAAATTATTCCATTCAAATATTTTATAGATTCCAACGACCTAATCGAGGCATCTCTGGAAGTTCTTATTGAAATTAAAAATCAAAATCAATTACGGTAACCGAATTCTAATGAACGTTATCAAAACACACTTTATTTCACTATACTTTGTCACACAGTATAACCAATTTTCTTTTGGATTCTTTGTCATTGGTCTACTATCAACAACTTCATTGTCATAACCATTAGCAACATATAGAACTCTCTTCATTATCTACTCTACTATCTCTACCATCAAATGTCTCCTCCTTCTTCTCAACAACGTCGTTACACGTATCACCGACCCCGATAGTTATCGCTAGCAAATTTGAATGCAAACCTTTTGCAAATCCGAAACATCATTCTTTACAAAATAAATTTACCTCATCCAAGTCATTTGCATTGTTATAGATTTTTTCTTTCTCATCATTGATTATCTTTCATACGGTGGATTCACTTATGCATAAGTCCTACATAAAATATGACCTTTTATACAATGAATATTAAAAAGTCTGACATTAACCATTACAAAATATCTTGTAATTGGAGATTTAAACTATTATATAATAAATAATTCTTTATCTAACATATATACAAAAATATATTGTAACTGGGGCATTATGCAAATAGTTGTAAAATTGTGTTACTTAAGTACATAATCAATTACCTTTGCGTATTTAAATATTAAGATCATGTTATGCAATGCACATTAATGTCATTGTGTAAGTCTACTAATGATTAATCGTGTATATATATATATATATATGAAATTCCAATGTAATTCTTAAAAAACCTAAAGGAAAAGTTGCAGAGACATTGTTTTTTTTACTCCTTGTTTAAAAAGAATTCCAATATATATTTTAATATAATGAGAAATCTCCTTGATAAAAAAATCTTATTATTTAAAATATTTAATATGAAAAGACAAAAGAGCCCTTTCTACAATCTCTCAGAAGCCTCGATTTTTTGGATTAAGCATGTTGTGATGGAGAACCTCCATATATTAATGGGAGGAAGGACAACATCTCGTTCGCTTCCTTGGCGTTACCCGATTGGCAGAGGCCTGTGATCATGGGATTCCAAGACCCCAGCTTTCTGTCAGGACTTTCGTCGAACACCTTGAACGCTAGGCGAGGCTCTGTCAATTATGCTAATAGAAACAGAAATCGAAAGAACACCAAAGCTTTTTTAACGTGGTTTCATCAATGTGACACTAGTCCACGGAGAGGATCTCCCTCTCAGGTTTTTGGTTTTTCTTATTTCTTACTTCATACGTGAGTTACAGGAGAATATATATAGTGGTTTGCTATAACAAACCCTAACTACATACTGACTAATACACAATTAACACCCTCCCTCAAATTGATGTTGAGATCTTAACATCAATTTGGAAGATAGATTCCAATGCCTGCTTGAGGACACAACCTTAGTCAACAAATTAGCAGTTTGCTCCTCAGTCTTCAAGTAACTCAATTGGATCGCCCCTTCTTCAACAAATTGTCTGATGTAATGAACATGCACCTCTATGTGTTTTTTCCTATCATGCAACACATGATTATTTGCTATCTGTATAGCACTCGTATTATCACCATATATTCTCATAGGCAGCTCGCACGTAACTCCCATCTCGAGAAACAACCTCTGTAACCAAACCATCTCAGAGCTAACTTCAGACATAGATCGATATTCTGCTTCTGTTGAAGACATAGAAACTATATCTTGTTTCCTACACCTCCATGATACAAAAGATCGACCAGTGCGTATACACCATCCAGAAGTAGATCTTCTAGTGTCTAAACAACTTGCATAATCAGCATCTGCAAACGCTTCAATTGTCGTGGCTCCATCACTAGGAAAGAACAAGCCTACTTCCGAAGTATGCTTCAAATAACGAAGTAACCTATGTACGGCATCAAGATGGGTTGTACGCGCAAAACCAGTAAACTGACTAATCACTTGTATTGCATAGGCAATATCAGGACGAGTATGAGTAAGATAAATCAAGCTTCCTACCACACTGCGATAAAAGCTTTGATCCTCCAATAATTCGCCACTCTCCCTAGTCCCTACTAAGTTTCAAGTTCTGCTCCATCGGGGTGTTGTAGGGACGACACGAGTTAAAACCAGTCGCATCCAGAAGATCGTTAATGTACTTCTTCTGACTAACATATAAGCCTGCTGCTAATCTACTCACCTCTAAGCCAAGGAAGTAAGAAACCTCGCCAAGCTCGTTTAGCTTGATTGCCGAATGTAGACTTGCTGTCAACTCCCGAATGCCTTCACTATCACTTCCTGTAACTATCATGTCATCCACATAAAGTAGCAGAACAGTCAATTCATGAACACTATTACGTGTAAACATAGAAGGATCGTTCTGACTTTGCAGAAAACCAGCCTGAATTATGGTACCATGAAATTTTTCGAACCATGCCCGTGGTGCTTGCTTTAACCCATACAATGAACACCGAAGTTTGCAGACAACATCCGACCCTCCTTTGGAGTATCCTGCAGGACATTCCATGTAAATCGTTTCCTTTAAATCACCATGTAGAAAATCATTTTTCACATCAAACTGAATAATGGACCATTGCTTCATAGCAGCAACAGCAAACAAACTCAGAACAGTCTGCATCTTAGCAACTGGAGCAAAGGTTTCCTCGAAATCAATCCCATACTCCTGCTTAAAACCTTGAGCCACAACCCGGGACTTGAATCGTTCAATAGAGCCATCGGGGCGCATTTTAATAGTGTAGACCCATCGACTGCCGATGACCGGAATATTTGGAACACGAGGCACTACATCCCAAGTGTGTTGAGCTTCTAATGCATCAATCTCCTCATCCATAGAAGCACACCAGCGCGGATCATCCTTAGCAAAACAGATAGTGAGATGGACTAGGAATACCATCGCCTGCCGAATAGCCTACATAGTCATAGTCCTGTAGATGGAGAGGCGACTGGCCGATGTTCGAGCGAGTAGACCGCCGAGGCATGGGGAGAGGTGGAGGCCCTGTTGACGGAGAACTATCTGCCGAAGAATTAGAAGACCCGTTGTTGGAGAAGGACCCGCTGGACATGGTACCTCCTGACTCAAATGTGTCATTTTCGGCAAAAGAAGAGGAAGTTGCATTGCTGGACGAGACTTGCGTAAAGGATGGCGCCGAAGGTGTACCAGGAGGGGTATGCTGAAGGGCTTCATCATTATTATTTCCAAGTGGGTCATTTCCTAGAGGATTATTAGCTGGAGCAGGAGCAGCGTGTGAGGGATCAAACGCAGGCAACTGGGCGAGGAAGTCAAGTGATGCCCAGGTCGTCTCGGCCGTCTCCGAGTAATACATGACATTTTCCAAGAAGGTAACATTGCATGAAATACGCATTCGACGTTCACTCGGATCGTAGCATAAGTATCCCTTATGTTGAGAACTATAGCCCACAAAGAAACAACGAGCCGTCTTCAGCGCAAGTTTATGGCGAGACTTCTTCGACAACAAGACAAAGCAAACACACCCAAACACCCGTAACCAAGAATAATCAGGTAACTGTGAGTATAGACAGTGATATGGAGACCGATCACCTTAAATAGGAGTTATCTGGCGATTAATCAAATAGACCACGGTACTTACTACCTCGACCTACAAACTAGTAGGAACATGAGAGTGAAAAAGAAGTGCCCTAGTCCGTTCAAGAACATGTTGGTGCTTTCACTGAACCACACCATTTTGCTGCGAAACACCGGGACAGGACTGTTGAGGTAGAATACCACGTGACTTATAAAAGTCCAGTAATGGTTGCGCAATGAACTCCTCGCCAGGATCAGAACGAATGAGCTTAACTCGTTTCCCAAACTGCGTCTCCACCATTTCCACAAAAGCCTTGGCATGGTGAACCAACTCAGATTTCTGGCGCAAGAAAAATATCCAAGTATACCTAGTAACATGATCCACAAATAATGTGAAGTACCGAAATCCCATGCGTGAAGTAATCGGCGAAGGCCCCCAAAGATCTGTATGAACCAGATCAAAAGGGGATGCGTACTGTGTACCACTCAAAGAGAAAGAGGATTGAGTAGCCTTTGCTTCAATGCAGCTAATGCAAGTCTGGGAAGGATGTAATTTGGGATCAACAGTCACTGGTAATAAATTACGACGAAACATATGTAAGAGACGAGCAGTATGGGGATGTCCAAGTCGATAGTGCCATAAATCCCAAACCAAAACCGATGTCTGTGGAACACAAAGCTGGGAATTCAAAGTTTTAACAGAAAAACCAACAGGAGAAGGTTTTAAGGATGTAAAGCTCTTTGAAGAATGTGTCATATGATTAAATGTGTTGAATCAAACAACCAACGAGGAAGTTTACCTGACGAAGAACTCGTCGCCAAGGCCGCATTTAACATGTGTGGGATGACATCTTGAAGTGCCTCAGCAACAAGCCTCCTTATGTCCGTGGGAGTGAGAACAACAGCTGGGGAAGAAGTAGCAGCAGTAGCGGCTGGCCCAACAGCATTCACATGCCCAGCCGCATTCCTAGCAGCAGTCGCAGGCCTAGCGGCATTCCCAGGAGAAAAGGCAGCCGACTCCAGAGTCTCCCCAACTGCATATGCTATCCCAGCCGAACCCCGACGATGATTAGGACGATAATCGCCTTTCTTGGCCATAACTTTACAGTCGATGATGATATGTCCAGACTGTTTACGGTAGATGCAAAGATTCCTACGTTTAAAATGAGGTTGAATGTGACCAGGATCATTGCAAAAATGACAAACAACATTACTAGGAGTGGCTTGCTGAAATTGAGGACGTGAAGACGAACCCTTCCCAACAGCAAATGCAGACTCCACATCCCCATGAGTATCTATTTTTGCTTTACTGCGAATGCGAGTTTCATCACGGAGTAACTCAGGAAAAGCTTCATCAATGCCCGCAACTTGCCGATGAAGTAAAGATGCACGTATGGGCTCATATTCATGACGTAGTTTGCCCAGGAATTGCATCAACCGGGACCGAGAGCGTTCCTTCAGAACATCAGCAGATGTCGCGACCGAAACTAAGGACGCAGTCAGCATATCATACTCAGTCCACCTGGTCATCAAAGCTTGATAATATGATCGAATATAACGATCACATTGATGAAACAAAGCCAGCTCATTCTCCAATTCAAACTGACGCGAGGCATTGTTATGAGAATAGTAGCACAAATATGAGACCACAACTCGGAAGCCAACGAGAAACGAGGAAGACTAAGACCAGTCCCAACATCAACTGCGGCTAATAACCAAGTAACCACTTGTGCATTGCCCGCTGCCCAGTCACCCCTCTCCTTGATAGGAGCATCACTGGTAGGCTTGGGAAGAGTACCTGTCAAAATCGGAAGCAGTCGCTGACCTTCCACAAAGTTACGGAACTGAAACTCCCATAAAGGGAAGTTTGTCCCATCCAGCTTCGGAGTCACAGAAGCTACCTTCCCAGCATCCATAGTGCCGAGCAACCAAAGACAACTTGAATAAACAAACAAGGCTATCAAGAAAGCCAAGGGCAAACCTGTGCAGACGGAGAAATCAAAGAACCACAACCTGTGCAACCAACAACTAGGACACGAGGATGGGATACGCCAAAAAATCCCCTTGGAGGAGAACCCGTAGCAACAAATCAAAGGATCCCCTTGGTAGGAGGAGAACCCATAGCTTGGCCAAAGAAATCCGCCAAAACAAAGAAGAAATCTGCAATAATAATCGAAAAGCTACGTGAGCGAAGAGAACGCAGATGCTAACCCGTCCTGAGAACCGTGATCGAGAGTCAGATCGCAGGTTCTGATACCATGTCAATTATGCTAATAGAAACATAAATCGAAAGAACACCAAAGCTTTTTCAACGTGGTTTCGTCAATGTAACACTAGTCCACGAAGAGGATCTCCCTCTCATGTTTTTTGTTTTTCTTATTTCGTATACGTGAGTTACAGGAGAATATATATAGGTTTGCTATAACAAACCCTAACTACATAATAACACATTGTTACCTGACTAATACACAATTAACAGGCCCTTCTCACTTCGAGTACAGGGTAATTAACCCATTCTCACAATACTCGTTCGACTGTAGCCCCAGCTTCAGGGCCGTACAATGAAGCTGCCCGCCTACCTAGATGGAAAAAACTTGACCCGAGGATTTCAACACGACGGGGATAGTATAACAATCGGGTAAAACCCCAGCCTGCGACATAGATGCGTAAATTTTGGTTGAGCTGCTGCAACTCGACGCAGCTCGATAGCTGGGTCGCAATGGAAATGGCTGAATCCTCCTCTGCCCTCTGGTTCATCGGATTGTAGTTGAGCCGAGAAATCGAATCCATTATCAACTAAAGATTTCGCTATAAAAAACATATAAAGTTCACCACTTTACGATTGCCCAGAAGGAAAACAGAGAATCGAAAACAGAGAAACAGAGCACCGAAGCAGAGACTACTTATTCAGGGTATATGAACAAAGCAAAAAGGCCGATTGGAGTTTTATACACAGCCCACCATTTTCTTCACTCATGTCAGGTCAAAATACAATACAAAATCAACTCAAATCCGGGGTTCAATTTCAATCACCCAACAGTTTTGAACGATTCATGGAGATGCCTCAAAGTATCCCGATCACGATTCCACTCGGCCGCCGGCGCACTGACAAAATGAGCATAGAGCTTATTCCTAGCACAAGTCACCTTAATCAAGCTATGCTTCCCCACTCCGTCGATCTCGTACTCGTAATACACCTGGCCGCTCTCATCCTTCCTCTCCTCGCTCGCCACTCCCTCTGCCGTGGCGATCAGATCCTGGAGATCGACGTCGGAGAGCGCCAGATTGTCGAGCACGGCGTCGCGGGGAGCCAGCTGGCGGAACCCGGCGAGGAAAGTCAGGTACTCCTTTTCGGCCTTCTTCTTCGGGTTGAAGAACTCGCTGTCGGTGCCGTTGGTGCCCTTCTCGACTTTGGAGACCAGGCGCTCTTTCCATCCCTCGGGGACGTCTTAGACGTATTCGGAGGAGGCCTTCTTGTCGGAGTTTCCCCCGTAGCCGCCGTAGTTGGCGGCGCTGGCCGCCGTCCCGTAGTAGAGGGAGTAATTGCTTGGTTCGGCTAGGGAAGGGAAGCCGGCGGTCAGGATTGTGGCGGCGGCGAAAGTGGCGGTGAGGGTGGTGAGGATTTGGGTTTTGGGGAATTGGGCCAGCGGTGGTTTTGGAGTTGGGCCGGCGGCGACGGCGGAGAAGTGGCGGTGTGATTGGGGGAGAACGGGAGTGGCGGTGGTGGCGATCGAGGTGGCCATTTGGGGTTTGGGAAGAAATGGAGAGTGGCTGTGGCGATTCCTTGTTGGTTTTGGTTTATCCTCCGCAACCACTCGATTCTCCCCTTCCTCTTATCCAATATCCATAACCTAAATGGTAAATTGGCAATATCCTCATTCGATCTGTTTGTGTTGATTAAATCCCATCCACAATGGTGATCAACCATCACATCATATATTGCTTTTGTTGTTGTTCATGGAGGCAACATGAGTTGAATGGGTTAATACCTTATTTCTAATTCAACCTTTGCTCAAATAATCAATTTTGATCCATGATTCTAGAAATTGTTATCCTCAACTAGATGTTGCAATTGGATTGGATCCACGGATTAGTGGACTAAATTGGTGTATACATGTATCAAGTGGATTCAATCAAATGGATTCATGGATTGCATCAAGTGTATCGATTCATGAATCCAAATGACATCCAAGTCTTGGATCAACATGTAAATTTTAAAAAGTTTAGGTACTAAAATGTCATAACAAAAAAAATATAGATGCCAAAAAGTATTTTTCCAATGATATTTTTCATATAAAAACTAAATGTTGGGTACCAAAATGTAAAATATAAAAAGTATAGATACTAAATAGTAATTTATCATTTGGATCCATGAATCAATCTATGAATCCACTAATCCAATTGAATTCGGATCAAATGAGTTTGATTTAAATGGACTGGATTAGTTGGATATTTTAGTGGATGAATTGAATTGTATTGGTGGATTGGGTTGAAAATTGCCACCTCTATTCTCAACTATACACCATATAGAGTCAATTGGGCGGCCGCATGGTTTGACTGCAATTTAGACGGTCAACACTGTTGATTAACGGTCAATGCTCCAGCTCACTGCCACAGTGCCACATTGGGATTGCATTTTCAATTGCAAGATGACATAAAATGGGTGTTTGCAATTGCTAAACCAATTGCATTGATATGACTACCAATTGCATATTTGCAAGCTTGTAACAAATACAATTGCATATGCAAGTAAAAAGTGCCTAAAAAATGGAGAACTTTTATTTTATATTATTTTCTTTTCTCTTTTACTTTATTTTATATGATTTAAACATAATTTTTAATTACATATGCAATTGCAAAAGAATTGCATTAATGTAGGTGCAATGACATTTATATGAGTTGGATTGCAAAAATATTGAGATGAAAACATAACTTCATATGCAATTCAACTTGCAATTGCATTGTTGTGATTTGTGATGCTATTAGTGACAAATAAAAAAAAAATTCAAATTCCACATTATTTCTATATTTCATTTGTTAATGTAATAATAAAATAAAAACCACAAATAAACAAAAAAAAATTCAAATTCCAAAATATTCCCAACAACATTTATTATTTTTTACCAATATTTATTTTGTTATTAGATAATAGAAATAAGAAAATAGTTCGCAATTCAAATTTTTTTATAATTTTGGTGCTGATAAGGAATTGAACTGGAGCGTTAAACGTTAGTCAATGGTGTTGACCGTCCAAATTGACGGTCAAACCACACGTCTGGCCAATTGAGTCTATATAGTGTATAGTTGAGGCCAGGATATCAATATCTGAAATCACAAGTCAAAATTGATTATTTAGGTATAATTCGGGCCAAAATAAGGTATTAACCCAACTTACATCTTTTCACCAATCCGTCGACTCTAATCACATAATTAATTTAGTCAATAAATCTACCAATCCAATCCACCAATCAATCTGCCACTTGTAATTGGTATCGGTATCAATAAATCTTCAGTTGATTATCATTAAATGTAACACCCTAACCCGGACGGGTACTACTTTTATTAAAATGCCCTTGAAAAATAAAATACTCAAATCTTAAATTTCAGCGGAAACAATTTTCATAAATAAAATACTGAAAACACACACTTGTAGTTTAAAGCAACGCCCTAACACATGGGCAAACTCCATACTTAAAATCTCAAAATGATCTCCAGTCTATACTCAATCATAAATATAAATAACTAATAATCTCTAATGTTGTTGCTACTAAAAACCTTGACTAAGCATCCTCCGTGACGCTTATACTGTTCTCCTCTAGTTGGCTGTCCTCGAACTCGCTGCTCACTAACTGCTCCTCTAGCTCTTCCAACTGGTGAGTGAGATGGGGTCAGTCTACGCCCTTACGTTTAACATCTTATTAATACTTGATCACTTTACTTAAGTTAGTAGAAGTTGTTTCGTACTTCCACTATTAAAAATCTTAACTGTTAAAACTGTATTCTTAAAGCTCAAATCTCAACTTAAAATTTTGACTGACACGGGGATCCCTCACTAGCTAGTCCGGTTGCCAACTCATACGTAAGAGAAGCCATCAAGGCTTTCCTTAAACTTAAACTTATCGTGGAAGGTTCTTCTTCCACGATTCTCAAGAGCATAACTGCTGCTCATCTTAAAAATCTCAAGAGCATAACTGCTGCTCAACTTAAATATCTCAATGCTGCTCAACTTAAATATCTCAAGAGCATAACTGGTGCTCTATCTGAAAATCTCAAATGGCAACGGACTGGCGCTAGTGACTAAAAACACTTAAAACGACTTGACCTTCTTGAAGGTGAGTTACTTCTTAAAAAGAACTTGTTCTTAAACTTTAACAATAACTCATAAACATAAAGCTTCAAGTAAGAAATAAACTCATCCACAATATACTTCAAATCATAGCTCAACCAAATCACATATCATCAAACATAATCATGCAATATCAAACATGAATCAAATACTGCACGTACATAACGTAAATCTATACTTGAAAAACCGCAAGGCGTAGAATTTACCCATTTACACTCACCTGATCGTTCAAGTTGATCCACTTGGCTTCACGATTAAATTAGAATGCTTCTCAAGGTTTGTTCCTCCCCCGGTAGCGTGGTCTCGTACTCCCCATTTCCTTATACATTACCGTATCCTCCAATTAAAAGTGAGCACAAAAGTAGATCGTAACAATCTCAGTTCCTATGTGGTAGATGGCTTCCAATTATTTGGTCCCATGAACTAATTTCCATACTATATTTCATTTCTTCCATTTTGTATGATGAGACACATTCCTCAACGTGTCCATTACCTAGGTCCCCCACTTAGCTTCCTCAAACTTCCATGCCACCTCGTTTACCTAGTTGGACACCTATGTTTACAATTGCTTTAACAAGCTGAATTGTGCACTCACCCATGATCAGTACGTGTCCCACCTAAACATGCACCCAAGTTTATATAATCACTTTTTCCTCCAAAAGATTCGATTGCCATGAAGAGTTAACATTCCACCATCATGAAATTATGAATTTACCAATTAACGACTGCAAAGCTATGCCCTTGATCCAATACGCAACTATTGTGAACCCCATTTTCCCTTGCCCAACCAAATCTAGAATTATGTAGACCAAGGTAATTTACTTACCTCTGCTTCGTGTTTCAGCAGCTAGTAACTTTGGAGGGACGCCCCTTAACCGGTTTTGTGCCGCCGCTTGATATAATAATTAATTCAATGATGCCTCTCTAGTTTCCCCAGTCGCTGTTCGTACCGTCCGAGCCAGCACCTCAACTTGCCGGTCCTGCAATCATCGATGCGGCAGAATGATTCATGGCAGCTCCCACGACATCATCGTGACATCTTTTACTACCCTTATATCGCCGGTCCTTGTTAAACTGCTTCTCCTCCGCGGCGGCTCCTCCATCGCTTCTCTCTTCTCTCTCTGCGGCAGGAGGTACCATTTAGTTACCCATTTATCCTTCGATCTTCCTCCAATCACCGCCTAACCCTAATGCTACTTTACTTGTGTTGTAACTTAATCCCACGAAGCACCGCTCCAAGTGGTCATCGTGGCCAAGGCCCACTCGATAACCCATGTAGCATTCACGATATAATGGCCAACTCCTGCCTATTGGTTTGAGTCAATTTAGTACTGATCTTCGACCCAACACGTGCATTTATTACGGTTAAATCTAAACCCAAATGTCGGGGGTGTAACATTAAATCCATAATACATTAGTGTAATTTTTTTTTCTTGTGCGGGTTTATGATTCAATAGCTGCTTTTGTCGATCCTAAGCGTATCCACACTTCTTTGATTATTTCTTCAAGCTTCTGGTGCTTATTCCATTCAATTAGGGGTGGGTTGAGCTAATTAAGTCCTTAAATTCGTTAATGTTGAAATGTGGAAATATCCATGTGCTATGCATAGGACAGGAGGAATCCGGGAAGCCAGTTTGAAGGTAGTCGGCTCAAGAGCCAATTTCTTGCTCGAGCGAAAGACCATTGCCAATCTGTAATATCACTCAACAAGACAAGCAAACGATATCTGAACAAGATAAGCATCTGGAGACCGACGACCACGTTCCAGACCTTACCAGCCAGCACCAGAGGCGTGATTAGAGGCAAGAGCAATCATTCATGACAGACTCTTGGCTCGTCTCTATAGTGAGTGGTACGAAATCTATTCCAAAAGTTGAACATATTTAAGATATACAGAGGATTGAAGACACCATTCGAGAATGACTTCAACAAGGAATGGTGATAATGGTTCTAGCTCCAGCGGTTGAAGTAACTGGACTAGTGGAGAGTGAAACTATTATTAACGACTGGAAAAGTATAATGTATACAGTACACATGTCTGCCCGAATAAACAATAAGTTAGAAACAAAACAAAAAAGAAAAAAATTATAAGGAACTGTAACCCTCTTCAACCAATGGCAATACCGTTAGGACTACAGCAATAGAATACTTGGAAATGGGCCATGAACCTGTCATTTGAGCCCGCCCTTTCCCTGGCAATTTGCAACCTCAAGTGCTCATTTCGCTTTTGCTGTTTCAGTTTGTGTACGTTCATAGTATTCAACTGCAGCACATCCAACGAGAGCAGCCAATGTAAATGCCTGCGCGTGCAACCTGAGGTTCAAAGATCGAAGTTAACAAATATTTGATCAAACAGATGGGATAAACTGCATAAGGTCAACAATTGGCCATCATTACAAAGAATCAAAATCACACACGACAAGATGATCAATGGCTGGAAAGGGAAGCAATAAGAGCAAATGGGATTGACAAATGCATTCATGGTTTGAAAACCGAACTAGTTTGGAAGACTGTCCAGCCACCATTGCTCCAGTTCGATGACCAAACTAATTATACAGGTTGCGGTAGCTGATAACATTCTACCCACAATTTCAACACATGTAGTTATCAATGAAAGAAAGGGGGAGGGGGGGGGGGGGGGGGGGGGGATAGCTTATACCACATTTTATCATTGAACTGACTTGGCAATATCCAGCAGTTATTCACAAACAAGATAAAGTTGCTAAATTCTCAAACATTCAGGAATTAGGAAGGGCATGCTGCCTGAATTGTTCTCCCGAAACCCTGATATAGTTCCCTACAATCTCCATCATTGGCATAACTGCTATTCGAACCATATTCATCAAAACATGGTGGAACCCCAAGAGATTTCTATGAAGCTGGACTCTCAAAAGTCTCAACCATCAATTTCCATGCTCTGCCTAAACACACCATAGTTCTCAACCTTTCCAACTAGGCGGCAGGTCATCATTGCTGTTCATTGGTTTACCAAACACTGGCGAAATCCTAGACATATGTTAAGCCGGGCTCTCAATACATAATTCGGTTTTCCACAGCAGAAACAGGATAACACTATTATTCTACATAAACAGAGAAAGCCTCATGAGACATTAAAAAGGGGTAATTTGCTCCATTGATGAGATAACCCCAAAACACCACCACATCCACAATCAAGAACAAACATACAAAACCCTAGAAACCAAGAAAGAAAACAAAGCACCAAAGCTCGAAACTTTTATTACCTAGCATGAATAATCTTGACGCTGGTCTTCATGTTGGGTTGCGACCAATTGTACGCTATCGAGCCAGCAATCCCGCTCGCCCACAAGGTCGCTTCAATCAATCAAAAAAAAAACCCCCCCAAAAAAACAAAATCAGCTGCAACCCATTACTCGAAAACCCGAAATTGACATGGAGGAGAGGAGCTCGGGAGTCTTACCGACGGATCTCATCTTGTGCTCGGAGACCCAGTCCCTGATTGATTCGAACGTGCCGTTGCCGCCCTCACCCATTTCTTCTCTCCGGCGAATTCCCTTTGCTTTTTCCGACGAGAAAATATCAGCGGGGTTTGTTTCGGAATAAGATCGAAACCGGAATACCAGATATGTAGCCGCTTGTTTTTGTTGTAAATTGAATTCCCTGCGCCTTCGCTGGTTGGTATTTATATATTGGGAGAGCCGACGGAGGAAGGAAAAAGCGAACTTGGCGACATATCTTTTTTATTTGGGGGAATTTTATTTTAGGACGCCAGCAGCCACAGGAGGCTAAATGACGTGGCGGCTGCCCGGAGACCTGCCACGTAGGTCGGGTCGGTTTCGGGCACGTGGGTTTTCCATTTGTGGATACCGGGAAAACAAAAGCGCGTTTGGCGGATGTGGGTGGGGAAAGAAATTGGGCTCTAATCTAGATAAAGGCCCAATATAGCTTATTCCACGGGCTCAAAATATCCTCTTTAGCCCAAACTTCAAACTTTAAGGAAGGCCCACGGATTCATGCGAAGAACCAAACTAACTTCGTAACGGAATTTTTGAAAAACGCGGTTTTGATGTTTTTTTTTAAATACAATTTAATATCCAAACCTTTCATTTTAAACAATATAATAGCCAAATTTTTTCGAAAACAATCTAATATCCAAATCGTCAACTTTCCGTCCGTTTGACCGTTGGTTGACACTTCATAAAAGCTTTGTTTAGGAGAAATTTCACAATACAACTTTGTTTTCTTGTTTTGGCATTGCAGATGACTGAATATTTAGATATTCTATACCATCATGGTGGAGTCATGGACTTCTCGGGTTTGGAACCACGACATGTTGGTGGTTTTTCAGAGATGATATCGATGGATATTGATGAAGCGTCTTATTTCGAACTTTTTTGAAGTGTCAACTGTCAACTAACAGTCAAACGAACGGAAAGTTGACGATTTGGATATTAGATTGTTTTCGAAAAGGTTTGACTATTATATTGTTTAAAATGAAAGGTTTGGATATTAAATTGTATTTTTTTTTGTTGTGTTGTGCTGTCGCCATTCTTTCCCTCTCCTTCTGCTTGATAGCTTTGCTCTCAGACAGATCACATTCCTTTCCTTCCCACCTTTGAAGATTTCAACCTCTGGTCAATCATTCATATTTCTCCTGATATAGAATAATTATAGGAAAATCGAGTTTCCCCTTTGGCAGTTGGCTCAGACGATGAGATAATTAGCTTCCCACTTCTCCTTCCCTCTCCTTTCCTTTCCTTCCCCGAGAAAGAAAAAAACAGAGGAAATCACATCATCATTGAAAGAAAACAGAATATTAGAGTTGTCAATCATGAACGGAGGGAAGAAGAAGAAAGATAATTCATGGAGGAAATGAGAAACATTTCCCCCTAAATCTCTCTCTCTCTTTCTCTCTCTATAATTTTCTTCCTGTTCTTTGTAGTTTATTTGCAAAAAATTGAGTTTGTGAGGCAAAAATAGGGCCATACCCATCTCGTATCACTACACAAATTATCCATCTTGAGAGCCTGTTCTGTTGATTTGTTGGATTTGGGGAAGTGGGTTGCAGGTAGCAAGAAAGATGATGATGATGACGATGGAGGGGATGATGGATAAAGGAGTACTGGAGGATATAATAAGGAGGCTATTGGAAGGTAAAGGAGGGAAGCAGGTTCAGCTGTCGGAGTCGGAGATCCGTCAATTGTGCGTTAACGCTCGCCAGATTTTCCTCTCCCAACCGGTTCTCGTCGAGATCAAAGCTCCAATTCGAATCTGCGGTACGACTTCCATGCCCCCGCTTGCTAGGATTTTGCAATTTTGCAGATTAGGGTTAATTCTGGTTTAGCTGATTGAGAATCAATTTCTGTTCATAGTGTGGGTAAGGAAGAGATGGTGCAATGGGGGAAATTGGGCAGGGGTGATTGATTTAAGGGGAAAGGTCAACGTTTATGGGTTTTCAATGAAAGATGAATTGTTCAAGTGGAATTGCCTTCAACATTTATACTGTTGCTCAATTCTTACCTTTTTAAGTTGGGATTGATTGGAAATGCAGGATGAAGATATGTTTACTTTGCAATCTTGAATCATGATCAGAAATTCTGTAGTTTTGAGCAATCCAATGATTTCCTTTATCCCACTTCTTTGTAGGTGACATACACGGACAATACCAAGACCTTCTGAGGCTATTCGAATATGGAGGGTACCCTCCTTCTGCAAACTACCTCTTTCTAGGAGACTACGTTGATCGAGGGAAGCAAAGCTTGGAGACCATATGCCTCCTCCTCGCCTACAAAATCAGATACCCTGACAAAGTCCATCTATTGAGAGGCAACCACGAGGACGCAAAGATCAACCGGATATATGGCTTCTACGATGAGTGCAAGAGGAGATTTAACGTCCGACTCTGGAAAATATTCACAGACTGTTTCAACTCCTTGCCCGTGGCAGCTCTCATTGACGAGAAAATACTTTGCATGCATGGAGGGTTGTCGCCTGACTTGGAGAATTTGGATCAGATAAGAGAGATCGAGAGGCCAACAGAGATTCCAGACGGCGGACTTCTTTGTGATTTGCTTTGGTCTGATCCACATCCGACGAATGAAGGATGGGCGGATAGTGATCGAGGGGTTTCGTGCACATTTGGAGCTGATGTAGTCGCAGATTTTCTTGACAAGAATGATCTTGATCTTATATGTAGAGGGCATCAGGTACTACTATCATTCCTTTCTTGGTGTAGTTTTCGGTGTTGATGAATATGGTTATGTTGTTGCATGATCTTTTTGGTGAGAGTTAGGTTAGAGAAGTTTAGTGGTAAGTGTTAACCATTGAGGCTTTTGGGGGAATGTTTTTGACAAGAATTGGGGAGATTAAAAGAATGAAGGATTACTTTTGAGAAACTTGCAAAGCAAGACAATGTTGCCCCTATAAGTGGAATATAGGAGACCAAGATTTAGAACGCTTGTTACTGAATATCTGATCTTAAGAGATTTGGAAGTAATGCAAAGAATTTTTAGGTGCTGGTCTTCTTTTTCACCTAACTGTACAGCCACTGGACACCTCACTTAGGGTCAATTAGCTAAGCAGTCACTAAACTCATATGGGTTGTTAAATTTAAGATTTAAGATTTAGTGACCGATTTGTTACCTTAAATTTTGGTGTGCAAGTTTGCAAGTTTCTGTCAGGTGATTAGTAACCGAACATGCCCTTTGTTTTGAGATTTATCATGTTTAAAAATCTGCAGGTGGTGGAAGACGGATATGAGTTCTTTGCTCAGCGACGATTGGTCACGATCTTCTCTGCTCCTAACTATGGTGGGGAATTCGACAACGCAGGTGCTCTATTGAGCGTAGATGAATCCCTCGTTTGCTCCTTTGAGATACTAAAACCAGCTTCATTAGCAGGCAGCAGTTCGAAGCCCCTTAAGAAGGTATATACAATCTCCAAATTTTATCTGTTTCTTTCTTTCTTTCTTTTTTCCTTACGGGCATATGAAAACAATCTGATGTTGCAATTTCACCCTTTTTCGTTTGGTTTTGAGCAGCCTCCTAAAACTGGTTAAAGCTTGATACAGAGCAAGAATGGAGATTTGGAGTTTTACCTAACTGTTGCATGATTAGGAGAAGATCTTGGAGTTGAGAAATGCAGGCTTATAGAAGAAAGAAGCTCTCTCTTCTTTTCAAACCCACCTACACATAGCTTTATTCTTTGTTCTTCTTTTCTTTTTGAGCTGGATGACCCTTTATGTAACTTGTTATTCCTGTTGATTAATTAGCATTTTGATATCTGTAAAGTTAATTTGAAAGGGATTAAGGAAAACAGCCGGATGAAAATTTCTTTTTTGTGTATGTTTGTACAAGTAAAAGGTTTTTTTGGCTTACGAACAAGAGTCCTATTATCCTCCCCCTTAATGCAGCAGAACCAACATTCTGAAACTAGGTAAAATCAACAAGAGCCATCGCAGCAAAACTCTATTGTCAAAAAGACCAACTATGGTAGTTGCCAAGGAAAAGGCAACCATGTCTTCGTTTGTACAACAGCCTGACAAACATCCGACGAATTCTTCCGCAACTTCAAGCTTTGAGTGATCCTTGAATTAGGGGATTCTGTAATTCCAACAGACAGCTTGTAGAATATGGTCTGGCAAAAAGCAAATCCGAGAGCGAGAGAAAGCTGCAATAGATGAAAAACATGTGCGTATCAGATTCAAGGATTCCAGAGTGATTTAGTTCTGACAAGATCAAAATAATTAATGAACGGCATAGTAGTTGGAAGCATGTTCTAAGAACTTCCAATTTTCCAGTAAATCGTTGATCATGTAAGAGAAAGTACTCAACTCATGAACATCAAGAACTAATCTAAAGACAAACGAAACAGGTCATTATGTGATTACAGTAGTATGCCTATGATGACTCACCATAGTATTCAACCAGAGATCATGCACATATTTGGATGAAACATTCATCTTAGTTTCCTAGCTGCCCTCTGTATAGCCGCTAGCTTCTGACCCCGACTGTAACTCTTCCTTTTGCTACAATAGTCGCCAAGTTAATGACTTATTACTTCTCGCTCTTCAAATCCATAGACCTTTGTAGCATATATAAGTCAGGAAGCGAGAGGGTCTAACCTTATGAACAAGAGTCCTGCAGTAAGAACCATCCCCCCAACAGCCCAAGAAACCCTTTCACTAAATGACATCTCCAGCACCCTTTGCTGGAACTCTTCTAACCCATTCAAACTGACCGGTCTTTGGTGCATCTCTGGTTGATTCCATGAATCAGCAATGTGATCAAGACTGCCTTTACCACCATAGCAAGTAGCTTGATTGGCAGCACGGTAGGAGGGCTCGGCAACTTCAACCCTGAAACCCAGTGCAGTGCAGAAATCGGTTCCATTGGACACCCACTCTGCAGCTCTACCGCAGAGAAAGTCGCTCACTCCACATGGTGCTAGAAACTGACAGGAAGAGAAAGAAAGAAAATGTAGTTTGTCAAGCCTTCTGAGAGAAGAAAGTAAGAAAAAATATGCACTATATTTAGTCTGCATGACTAGTTAGACAATAATGGATGCCTTTTGAAATAGATTGTGAGTGGTGAATTGTGAAACTGTTATTGTTCGGATGGAGTATCTTATCCAGTGGATTGTGAGTGATGGCTTGTAGGAAATGAGATCAGAAGGCAAAATTAGCGTTACAACTACCACAACTTTTTCCTTATTAGTTTCTCTCACTGTGCATGATTTTTGGAGACAGTTTATAGTAATTAGTGAATTAAACGGGACAAATGTTCAACAGGGGAGAGATAAAAACATCACCTACCAAAGGTCTTTTTTTTACGAAACCCAAGGTTATATTTCCATTCCATCTCATAACTAAATTTTCATCTCTATACCACAATCCACCACTACCATCAAAGACCAACTAAAAGAGAGATTTCGGCCAAATTCATTTGTTGATGGATTCAATGAAACAAACAACCCCGCCATTCAAATCCATCAACCAAATGGCCCTAAAGTTTTGTTATCATATCAAATGATTTCCGATAGAACCTAGACTGATTTCATCACCATTTGATGAGTTTTAGCGCTAATAGATACTTAAGAGACAGGAAATGATACCCGTGTTTTGGAATCCATGGAGAAGTAAGCATCGCCACAGGATTGAAAGACTCGGTCACAAAGAGAAGCACACATAACAGGAGGTCCAGGCTGGACACCGACTAACGGATCACAAATTGAACATTCCAAGGCTTCCCAAAACTGCAAGCATGAGTCTTTGGCTTCCCCTACTGAAGCCAGCCTCCTAAGGGACAGCAAAGCAGGATACGTCTGAGCTACATCACAGCAAGTCTTTTTGCGAAAGACCCTGCAAAGGGTCAAATCTCTCGAACCCTTGCTTACCTTTCTAGGAGGTTGGCTTTCAGTTGAGTAGGGTGGGAAACGACCACCTTTAGACACACAGACCCCCTCCGATTTCCCTGCAAGAATCAGAGGCAGACATTAACAGAAAATTATAGGCATATGTCATGAGGGTTCATCTATCTTACAGAAATCAACTGAACTCTCTGGCTACATGCATTATTTTTATGTGACTGAGCTACGGATATCAACTCCCTAACTATCATAGCCACTAAATAAGAAAAGAATAGAACCCCAAATGCCAAGTTACGAAGCACTATATTTAATCAAGAGCAAACTGAACCTTAACTATATGAATTCAGAACTTAGAAAACACTCTCACCATTTAGAAATCAGCACCATACAAGGAGAGTATGGAATCCTAAATGCAAATTTCAAAAGCAACACTTAGTTCCATTCAAGATCGATAACTGAAGCTTAACCATCCAGTTTCAGACCATAACAAAAACTCTTCACAACTTTCAGTCTTCTTATAAAAAAGGTATCTCTTCTCTGCAGTAAACGAAAAGCAAGTCTAAAACATGTACTATATATGCGAAGTTCACAAACCCACTCCATGTTTCAATTCAAGAGGCGAAACCCATCCTTATATTATTCAATCTCAGACCAATACAATCACTCTTCATCAGCATTTCAATGATCAAGGTTTATGTTGCCCTAAACCAGAACCAAAGTCTAAGAACAAAGTGAAAAGAACCAAATCAACAGAATCTTAGCTCCAAGTAAAAGCAAACAGAAGTCCACCAATAACCCCAATTCCAGGTTTTTCAAAATTCACTAGAGGCCATACTATCGTCTAATTCCTTCAGTTCTTTGTGCTGCTGAGTTAACGAAGATTTCAAGGAGAGAAGTTATTACCAGAAGTAAAACTGATTCGCAAGTGAAGAGAGAGAAGGAGCAGAGCCAGAATTCCGAAATCCTTCTTCTTCTTCATCATCTTTTATATCTTTGATTCTCTGTTTCCTCTTTCCGCTCCGCTCGAAACTCAGATTTGTCGCCGGAATCTCTATCTATCGGGCGACATATTTTACCGGAGGAAGTAGACAACTGTGCACTGAGGACATTCGTGGAAAGTCCACGAACAAGACCGATGCAAGCTGCGGGTACCCACACCCGGTTTCCGCCCCGGAGTTATTGGACCTGATGACTTAGGTTGGATCGGCCCAATTATATGGTACTCAAAGAGTTGGGCCTTCTTAGGGGTGGACAATGGGATGGGCTACTCGTCCCGTTTGGAACCAGTATCCAATCCCATTTGAAGAGTAATCTCCATCTCATAATCCATGTTTCAAACTCATACAAGTTAACGGGTACCCATTACCCGTACGAGACGGATAACGGGTAACCATACTACTTGTAAATACCCGTCCAATTAGTAGAAGAACTACAATCGTTTTAACATACAATTAAACAAACCCACATAATAATAAGAAGCTGCCACCTTCAGCATAAACACACAATTGAACAATTAAGGATCGTTAAAGAGGCTACTGTGAAAAACGGGAGAAGATAGGGTGCTAACTCCATAGGGGGTTAGCACCGTTCTAACTATGATCTATACCGTCCACATCAATTTTAAATCTAATGGCTACAAAAACAATAGGGGTATTTTAGGGAGAGGCGATAGTAATTATTAAAAGTATAAATTAATTTTTATTAATGTGGGGCGGATTTTTTGGGCATATGCAGTTACAATTTCCCATTTTGAATTTCCCAGGAACGAGAGGTGGTGGAGGACTAGGCTTTGGAGCCATTGTTGAGGAAAAGACTTTTCTCAGTTGTAGCGGTTAACTCCCAATTATCTGTTGTGGTTTTGCATCAAAAACTTTATTTATTCTAATAATAATGCTCACACAAATGTGTTAGTGTTTTCATGTTTTCCCATTGAACGAGGCTTGTAATAGTACTTTTCGGCAATCAAATTGTGATATTACTTTGGGTAATGTAGTAGTGGTATTGGTAGTACTTCCGAAATGATTGTCGTTGTAGACTTATAGTATTGGATACTAGTAGTGTTTTCGAAATGATAGTAGTGGTACTGGTAGTATTTTTGACAACTAAGTAGTGGTAATACTTTAGTCAATGTAGTAGTAGTGGATACTGGTAGTGTTTTCGAAATGATAGTAGGAATACTAGTAGTATTTTTGAAATTGTATAAGTTGTAGTAGTGGTTCTGGTAGTATATTTGGCACCTAAGTAATGGTAGTACTTTGGACAATATAGTAGTGTTACTGGTAATATTTTTTCGAAATCTGATCGTTATAGTAGTGTTTACTGAACAAATAATCATTACTAAACTAGAACATAATCATACCAACAACATCTATTATATAGACCACTAGGAGATCGGCTCGCAAACTGCTCCACCAGGACTATCACACCATCACAAAATCACTACTCAAAACACAAAAAACTGTGAATCACTCATACAAGGACCAAATTAAGAATCACTACAACACGAATATAATCAATAATATAGGGTTTAATCCCTAGTACATCTTACAAAAAAGAACACAGTATGACACTATTGCCCCTAAATTCAAACCAAAACACTACTACTATAATAAAACCAATACAAGAGTAACATACTGAAGCCATAAAAGGGAACCGACCATAAGAGTTCGACTGCAGCAACAAAACTTACAAGATCTAGAGCGGACTATAATGAGTGCGACGATGATGAGATCGGCGCATTAGAAGGGAACTGAGGCTACGACGACTTCAGCGTTGGCGACGACGGCGCAGGATCGGGAAGCCGACGAGTGATGTGAGGACTGAGAAGGCTACGGAAGCGAGGTCACTGAAAGAGAGGGAACCTAATTGCAACGGCGAATCGGACGAGCCTGACTCTGGCGACGACAAGGCAAAATCTGGAGACGCTGACGGCAGATGCAAAGTTGGAGAGGGCGGAGACTGTTCTTTCGATTGGGGGTGCTCTTGTGATAAAGAGAAAGGGGATACATGAAAAGAAAAGGAGAAGAAATTAAAAAGAAAATGGACTGTTGATATTCCACCCACAAAATCCGCACAATCCAAGCCGAAAATTGTGTGATGACGTCACCTACCACACTTAATTCCCCAAAACACCCTCAGCGGGAAACATCCATTTGATTGGGCCAGATTAATTTTTATAGTGATGAGGTGAGTTATCACCGTGCTAACTGACTACATGGTTAGCATGCCATCCTATTCCTATTTAGAGTGCAATTTTGGTAAGGTTGCTCCAAGAAAATAATTTTTTGATATATAATTTCAAGAAAATATTTACAACAGAAAATAAAATAAAAAATTATAATTTCATTAAGGGATTTGGATGAGGGTTATTTATGAGGAATTTCACATAAATCTCGTTATTATCCTAGATTTCGCCCAATTCCTTGTTTAGAGAAGGAAGCCAAAATTGATTTATTTGGAGCTTGCAAAATTTCGAAAACCTTCACTTGCAGGATTACAAAATAGGTGGAGGGGATCAACAATTTTTGAAATCTTTATGATCAATCTTTTTACTTCCATCTCTAACCCATTGGCGTTGCGAAACCCATGGCCGGGATTACAACTAAAAATAAACAAAATTTCAATGTTGTCATAACCGAACCGGAGCATGATCCGGTAATGCGAACGGCTCGCATTTTAGTGGTCCAACCGACATTAGACCGTTTAAAAACCGTTAAAGAACCGATACCTAATAAACGTTATCAGTATAAATAGTGGACATTTCTTAATCAGAGCTCATCTCTTTCCTTCAAAATTGTTAAATGGAAATAAGGATTCAGTTTAAGAGGCCGACGTTTTTGGTTTATTTCAATTTTCAATTTTCTGCAATTTTTTAATTAAATTTAGTGGTTGAGTGGCAAAAACTGGACGAGCGGCTCAATCGGCTCGAACGGTTAACCGCCTTGGCCGCTCTTCAACCGCTACATAAAACCGGAGCGGCTTTTAGACTGTTCCAAGCCGGTTTTGTGACCGGGTGGCGGTTTTACCGGTCAGGCCGAGCGGCTCGGCTCGGCTTTAATTAACACTGCAAAATTTCATTAAGGGATTTGGATGAGGGGTTTTCACGATGGATTTCACCCAAATCTCTTATTATCCTAGCTAGATTTCGCCTAATTCCTTCTTTTGAGAAAGAAACTGAAATTCATTAATTTGTAGCTTGCAAAATTTTGAAAACCTTGAGTTGCACGATTATAGTATTGGACTTAGTTGTACGGTTGGGTTAATTTGGGGAGTGTTTTTGTACTTTGCCACACCCGTGTGTTCTGGGGAAGGGTATTTATATGGCTTGTTGTTGTTTACAGCCGCCAAGAACCCTAAGTTGCTGCACTCTATCTTCATAGTGAAACCTCATCATGAGAGCTGTGCTCTCCGTGGATTAGTCCCGGTTTCCGGGGATACCACGTAATTCTCGGTGTCGTTTTCTTTCCGCGTTCGCAATATTTTACATGGTATCAGAGCATTACGATTCGACCTAGCGCTTCATTTTTGAGTTTCCCTTGGATCGAAGGCTGAGATGACTGACGGCGACAAACCGGCTGGCACTTTGAGCGCCGAGCTCATTCCGATCAGCTCTCCCCTTTACCTCCATCCCTCCGAAAATCCTGCTCAACAGTTCGGTAGTGATTTGCTGAATGATCTTAATTACGGTGAATGGGTGAATGACATGACCGAAACCCTAATTGCCAAAAACAAGCTTGCTTTCGTCGATGGATCCCTCTCCCGCGCGCAGGCTGGTTCGGCTCGTCATCAAGAAGCTTGGGATCGTTGCGATGCCACCGTCAAAGGCTGGCTGAAGACCGCGATGACTCGCGAGGTTCGCAACAGCGTCCGCATGGCCACTACTGCGCGTGCTATCTGGACCGACCTTCAACGACGTTTCAGTCGTGGTTCGGCACAACGCGCATATGAGCTGCGCCGTACTATTGCTGCTTTGCGCCAAGAGAAGTTGTCCATCTGGGCTTTCTACACGAAATTGAGGTCTTACTGGGACGAGATGGACGCGGTCGGTGGTCTTCCCCGATGCACTTGTGTCGGTTGTTCTTGCGGCGGGTGTAGCTGCAATCTTCCCGGCCAGTTTCAAGCTCGCCTTGAGTCCGAGCGCCTCTTTGACTTCCTGCTCGGCCTGGACGACGCGTACTCCATCGTCCGCTCGCAGATCCTCAGTACGAAGCCTACGCCATCGCTAGCTGAGGCCTACCAAACTGTGGCTGCCGAGGAACAGCACCGCATGCTCACAGCTGGGCGGCGTCCCGTGGTCGAGACCGTCGTGTTTCAGGCCTAGGCCGATAAGGATTCAAAGGAGGAGCGCGAGAAGCCGCGTTGCTCACACTGCAACAAGCTCGGTCATCTCCGAGAAACGTGCTACCGGCTGATCGGCTTTCCCCCTGGTCATCCGCGTGCGAAACAAGGCGAGGAGCGCCTTACGTCAGGTCCAAGACGTCCCAAGGCAGCTCATGTTGAACCAGAGGCGGCTGAATCAAGTGTGAGTCCTATTCCGGGTCTCACGGCAGCCCAAATCGCACAACTCAAGCTGTTTTTATCATCTCCGACATCGGACCAATCTTCATAGCCTATAGCTCATATGGCGGGTAACTCCTCTGATTCTTATGAATGGTTAATCGATTCGGGCTGCAATGAGCACATAGTTCGTGATGCTCGTTGGTTAGATTCCCTTGATATTGTTGATGGGTTATCAAAAGTTCAGATTCCAGATCGGGGATCTCGGTTAAAGGGGTTGGTTCAGTTCGGTTGTCTGCTTCTCTTACTTTGGATCGGGTCTTACACGTCCCTGACTTCCGGTGTAATCTGCTATCAGTGAGTCACTTGACTCGTGATCATAATGTTGGGGTAATTTTCTTATATGACTTCTGCGTTCTCCAGGACTTACGTTCCAGGATGCTGATTGGCGTCGGTAGGATTCGGGACAGGCTGTACTATCTGCGTCAAGATTCTCTTGGACCATTGCCTCAGGCGTGCAGGGCAGTTGGGAGTAGTGATGAGACCGTTTTATGGCATGCCCGTCTGGGGCATCCGTCTATTGATAGACTGCTTTTGTTGAAAGATTTGGTGGGTTGTAGTTTGAATTCTCGGAATATGTCGCACTGCGACTCTTGTTTACGTGCCAAACAGGCGCGGACTCCTTTCTCTACTAGTTCTATCAAAACTACTGATTGTTTTGAGCTGGTTCACATGGACATATGGGGCCCCTATAGCACCCCGGCATTGGATGGTTCTCGTTATTTTCTCACCATTGTAGATGACTTTAGTCATTCGACCTGGGTATATTTGATGAAGTTTAAATCCGATACTGAACGCTATATTAAAATGTACTGCGAGCTAGCTCTCACTCAGTATCGCAAAATAGTGCGCCGGATTCAAGCTGATAATGGTGCAGAGTTTCAGACCACATCACTTCGGCAGTTCTATGAGGAGAAAGGAATTCGACTTCAAACTTCTTGTACTGATACTCCTCAACAAAATGGTGTCGTTGAACGTAAGCATCGCCACCTCCTCGAGACTGCTCGGGCTTTGATGTTTCATGCTGGCCTGCCTGTCCGATTTTGGGGTGAGTGTGTCCTTACTGCAGCATATTTGATCAATCGTCTTCCTTCCCCTGTCACGAACATGAAGACTCCCTTTGAGATCTTGTTTGGTCGAGCTCCCACGTACTCGCATCTCCGTAGCTTTGGTTGTCTTGTTTATGCTAAAGACACTCATCATAGCCTTGACAAGTTCGCTACTCGAGGTCGCGCTTGTGTTTTCATCGGTTACCCTGGCAATCAAAAGGGTTACCGACTGTTTGATCTTGATGCTCGAAAGGTTTTGGTGTCCAGGGATGTTCATTTCATAGAAAATGTCTTCCCCTTCCTTTCCCAGGAGAAGAGCGACCCAACTTCCAAGCTTCCTCACTTTATGGAGTCTTGTAGTGAAGGGGAGCTTCCTCCTGGGCCTGATACCGATTGTCTTGATGTTGTGGGCATAGAGAAGCCGCCTCCCCAGCTATTGGACACGGCCGAGTCCCTCGCCCCCTCTCCTACATCGCTAGCGTCTCCTGCCGCGCCTGTTTCACCCGACCAGCTTGCGGACATGGATTCCCATGAAGCTAGCCCCAGTCCGGAGCCCCCTCGCCGGAACCCACCGCGCGATCGTCGCCCTCCGTCTCGTCTTGGGTCATATGAGGTAGAGTTACCGAACACTTCTTCTACTTTGCACCATGTTCAGTTTCCCATTTCTGATTACGTCAGCTATCATTGTTTCTCTGCTAATCACTGTGCTTTTTTGGCTGCACTGACCTCTCTCGTCGAGCCTCGCCACTTTTCTCAAGCGGCACAGTATCAACAATGGCGGGAGGCTATGCAGCGCGAAATTGCAGCCCTTGAGGCTAATGGTACCTGGACATTGGAGTATTTACCGCCTGGGAAACGATTAATAGACTGCAAATGGGTTTACAAGATAAGTTCAACCCCGATGGCTCGATCGAGCGTTTCAAGGCCCGTCTCGTGGCCAAGGGCTTCACTCAGCTTGAAGGCATCGACTTTCATGACACCTTTGCTCCAGTTGCCAAGCTTGTCACTATTCGTGTTCTCTTAGCTGTCGATGCCCAGAAAGGTTGGTCTCTTCATCAACTCGATGTCAACAATGCTTTCCTGCATGGGGACTTGGATGAAGAAGTTTACATGCGAGTGCCTCCTGGGTTTGCGAAGGAAGGTGATATTCGGGTTTGCCATCTTCGTAAATCCTTGTATGCCCTTTTTTCAGCAGGATTCTTTTTTTTTTTTAACTCGCTTCATTACTTCAGGCAGAACATTTCTTCCCCCGATAGTCTATATCGATACTTTAAAAATTCGAATTCTACGAAAGAAGAAATTACTGGATTTATTTTTCCTAGATGACATAATCATAATCCATCGTTTCTCTATTTCTGTCGAGTCCATATCATACCAATTTTTCTATACTAATAGTCGCCAGGCTTCTCGGAATTGGTATGCGAAGTTTACCGCTGCCTTGGTTGAGTTTGGTTTTAAGGTTTCTCGCGCGGATTCTTCTCTCTTCATTTATGAGGCGCCTGGTGTGTTTGTTGCTGCCTTGATCTATGTTGATGACGTTGTACTGACAGGAGACAGTCTTGAGGTCATTGCACGCGTAAAATCATTCCTCCATGAGCGTTTCAGCATTAAGGATTTGGGTCCGCTCAAGTACTTCCTTGGCATTGAAGTGGCCCGGTCCCCCGAGGGCATTGTTCTTTGCCAACGCAAGTATACTCTCGATATACTGGCCGATTCCGTATTAGGGGCGGCTCGTCCCAGTGGCTTTCCGATGGAGCAGAATCATAATCTTACCCTCCCCAGTAATGAGTGCGTGGATGATGTGAGCTCATATCGGCGTCTCATTGGTCGCCTTCATTATCTCACCATCACTCGGCCCGACATAGCGTACTCTGTTAATATTTTGAGTCAGTTTGTTCATGCTCCTACTCCTGATCATGTTGCTGCTGCTCACAGAGTCCTCCGTTATCTCAAAGCGGCTACTGGACAGGGACTTTTCTTTCCTTCTGCTGGTTCTCTTACTCTTACTGGGTATTGTGATGCAGATTGGGCAGGTTGTCAATTCACTCGTCGCTCGATTACCGGCTACCTCATTCAGTTAGGCGGTGCACCTGTTTCGTGGCAGGTCAAGAAACAACGTGTGGTTGCGCGCTCTTCTGCCGAGGCTGAGTATCGGGCCATGGCCAGTGCCACCAGTGAAATCCTGTGGTTACGCTTCCTACTTGGTGAACTACGGGTTGAGCAGACCTCCCCCACGATTCTTCATTGCGACAATCAGGCGGCTCTGCACATCTCCGCTAACCCCGTTTTCCATGAGCGTACTAAGCATGTGGAAATGGACTGCTACTTCGTTCGTGAACGTGTCAGCTCAGGTGAGATTCAACCACTCAAGATCCATACGCGTGATCAAGTAGCGGATATCTTTACCAAGGCCTTGGGAACTGAGCAGTTTCACCACTTATTGTCCAAGCTTGGCATTTGTAACCTTCATGCTTCAGCTTGAGGGGGAGTATTGGACTTGGTTGTACGGTTGGGTTAATTTGGGGAGTGTTTTTGTACTTTGCCACACCCGTGTGTTCTGGGGAAGGGTATTTATATGGCTTGTTGTTGTTTACAGCCGCCAAGAACCCTAAGTTGCTGCACTCTATCTTCATAGTGAAACCTCATCATGAGAGCTGTGCTCTCCGTGGATTAGTCCCGGTTTCCGGGGATACCACGTAATTCTCGGTGTCGTTTTCTTTCCGCATTCGCAATATTTTACATACAGAATAGCTGGAGGAGATCAAACAGTAGGTAGCTCTCTGCCATTGCTATATCCAACTCCTCCGGTCATTATATTGGGCGATTCTTCTCCGTTAGATCCAGCTCAAACCAAGTATAAAGTCGACAGTACCCTTTGATCACCTTCATAAAATGGCGTAGATCACACAATACAAATTTTATTCTCATATTCAACGAAAAAAAAAATTTATTCTCATATTCCAATATTTTTTTTCAGTACACATTGGAATTATATATTATTTGCTTAATTACCTCTTCCAATCACTCAAACTATATATATATATATATATGGTTGTGAACTGGAAGCTAGCTAGATATATAGTTACGTGCTTGTACGTACGTAGATAGTTAAGGCGTTGCGAAACCCATGGTGCAAGCGTCGGAGTCATTTCCAACGTAGCCGCCGGCCCGGCTACTGCAGGAACCGAAAATCAAGTGCTCAAGGCCCGACAGGCAGCTCGCGCAGAGCTCGGGGTCATTGGGATCGGAGCACGTCGCCACGCCGACGACGGAGCCACTGGCGCCGTTGCCGGGGAATGTTGTGATGTCCTCAAGCCTAGGTTTGGTGGGCGTAACCGTCGCCAGCTCCGACAGCACGTGTGCCACGTACGCCGAGTGGGTCCCGTCGTCGCTGATTTCGACACCTGTGCATGAACCCGTGTCGCCCATGACGTCGTCCCTCGTCATCAGGAACATGAAGATGATGACGGTCACAGCTTGTAGCATCATTAGTGCCGGCGGCGATGTTATTGCTCCTCGCTCCATCACAACTACCGACTCTCTCTCTCTCTCTCTATGCGAAACAGCCAAATTTATAGGGAGGACTATTTTCATTATGCCTTTGGTGGCAGAAGAGAATATTCCCGTTTGTGTGGCATGATTATCCATTTTGCGGCCGGAAGAACAATTCTGTCATTGGTGGAATCGGCCATTCTGCTGATTGATTTCTCAAGGAATTAAAGGGGGTGTTTGATGAAGACAATGATGCCTGCCGCCCCGGCCTAGCTATTTCAATATTTATAATCCTTTTGTATTGAGTACTGGTTTCGTACTGAATACATTTTTGGCGACCGTATTTTACATACACAGTCGTTGAATGGTCAGGCATTTACAATTAGAATATGCCAATTTTGCGACTATTTGTTTACCTTGCGGTCGCAGTAAAGTTATAATGCGAGACCAGACTCTTTACTTTGGTCGCGAACCATGAATATTCGTTTACTGGATTACCGTCTACCACCCCTAGTAGGAATACTAGTAGGATTTTTGAAATTGTATCAGTTGTAGTAGTGGTTCCGGTAGTATATTTGGCACCTAAGTAATGGCAGTACTTTGGACAATATAGTAGTGTTACTGGTAATCTTTTTCGAAATCCTTGTCGTTGTAGTAGTGTTTACTGAACAAATAATCATTACTAAACTAGAACATAATCATACCAACAACATCTATTATATAGACCATTAGGAGATCGGCTCACAAACTGCTCCACCAAGACTATCACACCATCACAAAATCACTACTCAAAACACAAAAAACTTTGAATCACTAATACAAGGACCAAATTAAGAATCACTACAACACGAATATAATCAATACTATAGGGTTTAATCCCTAGTACATCTTACAAAAAAGAATACAATATGACACTATTGCCCCTAAACTCAAACCAAAACACTACTACTATAATAAAACCAATACAAGAGTAACATACTGAAGCCATAAAAGGGCACCGACCAAAAGAGTCTGACTGCAGACACAAAACTTACAAGATCTAGGGCGGACTATAATGAGTACGACGATGATGAGATCGGCGCATTAGAAGGGAACTGAGGCTGCGACGACTTCGGCGTGGGCGACGACGACGCAGGATCAGGAAGCCGACGAGTGATGTGAGGACTGGGAAGGCTACGGAAGCAAGGTCATCGAAAGAGAGGGAACCTAATTGCAACGGCGAATCGGACGAGTCTGACTCTGACGACGGCAAGGCAAAATCTGGAGACGCTGACGGCAGATGCAAAGTTGGAGAGGGCGGAGACCAGGGGCGGAGCCAGGATTTGACCGTCGGAGGGGCCGAAGTTTAGAAAGTGTAATATGTAGAAGAAAATATATCATAAAATATAATTAATATTTGTATTTATTTATAATTTATTTATAATATTTGAGATAATGAAAATGCCAAAACTATTATTAGAAATATAAATTTAAAATTTGAAGAACATAATTAAGCTACTTCAAACTTACATGACTTGTAAAACAAATTATGAAAGTTAAATATGCTTCATGGTAAAACTAAATTAACAAGGTTAAAAAAAGTAATATGGTCCTTGTCACGCTCAATTAAGAAAGTTAAAGACAATTAAATATGATTTTTTATCACAGTCAGTTAACAAGGTTAAAAATCAATAAAAATTAGCTGCCAACAAGTTTCGAACCAAGACCATGAATAACAACAATCAACTTCTGCTCCGCTGGACTACACACAAATCATATGCTTCATTATTGCACACAGTTTGTATTTATACTAATCTTCATTTTATACGTAATTCTTCAAAACTCGATAGAATTTTGTACGTGATTTCAAAAATCTCGGGGGGGCCGGGGCCCACCCGAAGTACCACCTAGCTCCGCCCCTGGCGGAGACTATTCTTTCGATTGTGGGTGCTCTTGTGAATTGTGATAAAGAGAAAGGGGATACATGAAAAGAAAAGGAGAAGAAATTAAAAAGAAAATGGAATATTGATATTCCACCCACAAAATCCGCACAATCCAAGCCGAAAATTGTGTGATGACATCACCTACCACACTTACTTCCCCAAAACACCCTCAGCGAGAAACATCCATTAGATTGGGCCAGATTAATTTCTATAGTGATGAGGTGAGTTATCACCGTGCTAACTGACTACATGGTTAGCATGCCATCCTATTCCGTGAAAAACCTACAAACAATTACACAATTAACAATAAAACAAACCTACAAAACAACATAGTATGAACACTAAAAGAGTCAAACCTATAAAAAAAATATGCTGTGGGAAATCGAATGGGGCGGCAGGAGGTGGGGTGGGTTGTGTTTAGGGATGACAATGGGTTGGGTTTTGCCAAACTCATGGGTTTATCCGTAAAAAACTCGGATTAAAACCCATTGGGTTTGAAAAACTCAAACCCAACCCGTTGGGTATCCGCGGGTTGATGGGTACCCATGGATTTTTTTCGTAAAAAATTTACAATAACAAGTTCCTATCAAAATAAAAATCAAATATCAATCTCTCAATACAAATAATCCATATATAAAACACCATTCTAAAAAATTCAAGCAAATCATAAATTGACCATACAAATTATTCAACGCCAATCTAGAAAACTCAGGAAAATTGAAGCAAATCACAAATTATCCATAAACAACATGATTAATTGAAAACTTATTCCTCCTTGTCTGTAACACCCCGAATCCGGGTATTGGTTCGATCAGAGTTCGACCAAAAAAATTCAAAGGCGGTTAGAGCCAGGATTATGTACGAATATTCGAAACCGTGAATTAGAAATATAATAATAGCATTAGCTTTTGGGATTTTGCTACGGTGACATGCATGTCACCGTGACATGGACTTTTAGGTCGACCTAATCCAACATGCGATCGACCGAACTGACTAATTCATGTATGTGAGGTTCCGAGACGCGGTCGACCTCTTACATAATATGGTCGACCGCTTTGGTGGACTAACAGAATGAAAGGTCGACCCAAATACCTCATAGGGCGACCATTGTGCACCTAACATGTCGACCGCATTATGAAGAGGTCGACCGCCTTCACACCGTATCCGTATTGGATATGGATTCCAACACCAAAAAGGTTCCACTATTGGACAAGGAAACGAATTGGGTCAACCCATTCACATCTTAAATTTCTATAAATAGGAATATAAGTCCCCTTCAACGCCACCAAATCTGAATTAGGTTTTTTTCCGATTTAGAGCCTTTGTGAAGAAGATCGTTCGCGGTTGCTGTTGTACATGTTGAAAGTGGTCGACCAGGTCTAAGGTGAGGTCGACCTAATGTAGCATTCGCCGTCATCTTTTCTAATGCGTGATTTCCACCGTCTAATTTGATATATTATTGCGTGCAGAATTCCATTCGGTATACCGTGACATCAACCAGGTCGACCTGACGAGACAATTCTTCGTATTTGAATTTAGGGCACAACACTTGGACTTCTGTACTTGCGAGGTAACGAAGATCAACCCAAGTGGTCGACCTAATTTGTTTCAAGATCGACTGTTTCTGTTTATTTTGGTTATTCAACCTGAATGCCGACTTTGTCTTTGTTTGTATGACTATGTTGTGCTTGAAAAGGTCGACCGCGTAAGATATCTGGTCGACCTATCCTTTTTTCGTTGTTAATTGTTATTTTTCCTACTGGATAGGTCGACCTAGGAGGAACAGATGTCGACCTTAATGGTTGTGGTAGTCACTATTTGTCTTCCAGGTCGACCTAATACTTTGTCAGGTCGACCACGTCTTTGTTTTTTGGTCAATTGTAGAAATTTGTAGTTGAATTATGATTTGAATTTTTCTTTAAATTGTTTAGACGATGACGCATGATAAGAGACTGCATCAAGATTTGGGTGAAATCATGAAATTGTTGAAAGCCACACAAGAGAAGCTGGTGGTGTGTCAAACACAAGTCAATGACTTTCAGATGTCCATGCGTGATAGAGTGGAGCAATTGTCAGTTCGACTGACAGATATGACTGGGATGATGCATGACGGGTTTGAGAGGCTAGAAGGTGCTATCAAAGATATAAGTGTAGAACAAATGGAGAATGGCGGAAGAGATGGTAAAGGAAAGAAATGTGACTTTGGTAAAGAGGAGGAAGACCATGATGACTCTGAAAATTGCTACCAGAGCATAGACGATTTATTGAAAGAGCACATTTTAAAGGTATCCAAGTATATTCATATGTGATTGAAGATATTAGTATTACTATCATTAGTGCTAATTTGTTTTGTTTATATGTTTGACAGAGTGAAACAACGAATGGCAGCAAGGGTTCCTCTCCTAAGTACAAGAGACCGCGATATGAAAGTGACTCCTACACCACTCCACAGAAGGATCAATTTGTAAGAAAAGGCTTATTTAGTGCTGATAGCGATGAAGATTAATCTAAGAGTCCTTTCGAAAAGCACGGGGTAAGTTTACGTTACATATTCATCTATAATGTGTGTTTGTGTTCATATGTTACTTTAATTTTAACTATGATTTGTAGGTCATGAAAGTGGAGGGTCTAGAAGGATTCACCAAAAATCTTCAAAATCCAGTTGAAGACTTGTATTATGTTGTTACTAAAGAGAAGGCTGGGGACACGAATTGGGACAACTAAGACGTTTTTTAGTACGTGTGGTCGACCGTTTAGGTCATGAGATCGATCGTTTGTCCAATAAGGTCGACCGTGACTGTGAACAGGTCGACCTATACGTTGCAAATCACAATTGACATTTCTGTTATTTTGATTTTTGCAGTTTGACCGTTGTGGACTTTTTCTGAAAACGTGCAACGACATTATTTGAGTTCAGTCATTAGCGAGAATAGCTGGGTTTGCTCAACAGTAAGTACTATACTACTACGACTTTCGTATGAATTGTGCACTATTTATGTTACGATTTACGGTGGTTTTGTGTTTAATTGTTGGATGGTAGGTAGTGGATTTGTGTGCAAGGGCACTAACAATATCTGAAAAACATGATGTGAAAGAGCCAAATGTGTGGTATTTGCCAAATATGTTTTCGGTAAGAGCCGTAATGTCAAATTATTTGTCAATAACCTAGTTATTTATATAGTACCATGTCAATTCATCTCAATTAAAACATGGTGCAGAAAATGGTACGCGTTAACATGAAGACCAGACAAATTCGTAACAAGTTGATGAATGATGGCGTGGTGTTTATGCCGAATGTTAGTGCATGCCAGAAGGTTAGTCTAGTCAATGTCCCTATATCATTAAATTTCGAAAGTGCATTTGTTTGTATTCGCTGTTTATAACATATAGTGAGTGTTTCGTTGCTAGATATTTATGCAGTTCTTGACGATGAAGCACGTCATTGGTTTCTGTATCTCGTCAATTTCCAGCAAAAAACTGCATTTTTGCTTGACAGTTACCTCCAACTAGTGAGGCGAATCATAGGCGCAAATCAACACTATGCAAGAAATTGGTAAGTGTTTCCTATAATTTTCTGACTACTAAGCGTCACGTATTATGCTAGAAGCTTAAAATATTCGTTATTTATGTGTAGTTGTCCAATTTGGATGATATTTTCAAATCGGAGCGCATGAGCAATGTAGTAGTACTAAATTTTGGAGATTTCAATTTTGATGAGCTACGAGTTCAACGACAAAGGAATAGTACTGAGTGTGGTGTGCACGTCATGCAGTGGATGCGCTATGGATCCAAGGATCTGGATAGAGTGGTGAGTATATTGTCAAACAAATAATTTGTTTAATTTACACTTTTTTAGTTGTAACGAAGTCTTACATGGCATAATGCAGATAGGAGAAGGACACAAATTACCGGCTCGAAAGGAGATTTTATGGTATCTGGCTACACATTTTGAAAACCGTGCACGAGAAAATCTTTTCAAGCATGTAGTAGATGAATGCATGGAACGAGGCAAAGAGAGACAGAGTTCAAACAAAAAAGCAAAGAAATGAAGTCGTTAAGTTACAATGTTGCATTATTTGGACAATACATTGAATTTGTATTTGCGAGATCGTTTCATTTTGGATTTTGAATGTTTATCGTTTATTAGATTTGTTATACAATTATGGATGTGACTGAATTTATGATTTCAATCGTCTAGAACAAGTGGTCGACCACATACTCAAAGCGGGCAAACCCAAAGGCGGAGCACAGGTCGACTTCGTGACGCTTAAGGTCGACCTATGATACCGTAGCAAAGTCAAAAACCATGTGGAATAAGGATGGAATCTCGTCTGTTTGGCCTTAATAAAATACGGTCGACCATTCGTGTCGAGAGGTCGACCTGTTTCACATTTATAAACAACGGTAGACCATTTCAGTAAAGAGGTCGACCTATTTCACATTTATAAACAACTGTCGACCATTTGT